CTTTCACTGTATTCATAGTGTGTTTTTGTAGATATGTACACTATATCAGTTTTGCATTTTGCGGTATTAATTGTTCTGTACCTGTTGAAAATTAGAATGTATTTTGTTTCAATCCATCGCTACGATAATAGGCCATTTGACACAAATTGATGAGAACTAGGGACTGCTGTTATAATACAATAGAGTATTTATCATCGAAAATGAAATTAGCCAGACTATCTTGTTAATTTGACGAAGCAGAGTATCGTCACTAATAATTGTTATTGAAATGTCTAACTTCGTAAATTTAGCCAGAGCTTTTATAGTGATTACTTCTCTTTGTTATCATTAGGATTATGCTCTTATCGAAGTAAAATAATAGCAGCAGAGGGTGTTGTCAGTTGTCACTCGTTTTAAATCTATTCGTTAATTAAACTTTAACAACTATTTTCTCATTCTTTTGAAGCTTTCTATAAGGAAAATTTTCTTATTCTGCTTCATATCACTGTGTCGGATCTTTTTTCAAAAAGTTTGACTATTTTGATATGTCGTAAAATGATGGTCATATCGGAAAATTGTTAGTGCTTTAATTTTTCCTACGCTATATTTGTACTTTATTTCATTTGTTATGCTTTCCTGAAATGAAGTTAGTTAAATTTGTGCTAAAGTTACTCAAGTTTTTGAATTTAAATGTGAAAAAATTTCCAAAAGGTTTGGATAAAGTTCCGTCAATACTCGAGTCTATAGCAATTAATCCTGCTTAATATAAAATTTCGGAACTGATGCTTTTGTATAGATTGAAAAATGCCGGATGTGATACATGGCAAAGATAAGATAACTAGCGAGAGTAGTTTTTGAAAAATAGTTTTTGAATAAAAAATTTTGAAGTTCTTTTTAACAAATTAAAGGAGAATTTCTCTTTTTCAGGACAGAAAGTAAGTTCCTTTTTAATCGAATTTAAGATTTTTTCGCTAGTTTTTCGTGTAAAATTCATGCTTATTTTTTCTCTTGGTTTTAATTAATTAAAGTGAAAATATAAAATTAAATTATTCCCATCTTCTTATTGGTTGTTATGAAAAAAGCTGATTATGTTGACTTTTTTTCATAGCATCGAATTCTCTAATGACGTAATATCCACGGGTAAATTTCGATCCGAAGTCGAGGATATTTGGCTAAATCTCCGTGGATAGGGGAATCTGCTTGCATAAACATTCAGTCGGGGATATCGACGGTGTTTTCCGTTGTTTTGTTCAGGCACTTTGTCAGATCCACAAAGAAATTTCAAAAGATGTTATGTTATGTATTTTGACTGCAATAGTATAGATTCGTTCATTCTTTATTACTTTGAATATTTAATTGTCTTCAGTTAAAGCTAATTTAAATAAGAAAAGTAATTTTGAAAATTATTTTACAAATGTAAATATTAGATCTTCCTGTATTCTCTTCATCTTCTTTTTATGTTTGTTTGTTTGTTTTGTTTTTCCATTTGTTAAATAATGTCTAATTTATCATCATTCTTTTTGTTTGCAGTTTTTAGAAAATCTGTCGTAATTTAGTGAACGATTTTCATTTGTTCGTATGATTGAGGTCAAAAATACATAGCTTCACTGCTGTATTTGTGAAGTCCTACTCGTCAGTTTTTTTATAATATTACTTTTTTTTAATAGAATTTTACAAGTTTCTGAGGAACGGTGCTTTCTTATTCTGCAAAATCAATAAGATTCCTTACATGCAGGCCACATTTTATATCACCAGAATTACATGTCATGCGAGAAATATGCAGATTTAAAAAATAATTTCAAATGATTGATTTTCGAAGGTAACTGATGGACAAAATGCAGTCTTGATAGTGCGACAGTCAGTATTTAAGCGTGTTAAACATATATATATAAGCATGTTATTTTGGTTTCTTTAATATTTTTTATTTCTTTCGGAAATAAAAAACCTGCTTTTTTTCTCTCATTTTAAAAGTTGTAATTTAAGTTCTGCTAATATCAACACAACAGTTAAGGATACCTTTATTTAAAAACCATTTCACTATTAAAAGACCGATGTGTTTATCTATATTAATTACCATGCACCTTTACGGGAAGCATTTTTTGCTAAATAAGAATTATAAGCAGTATCATGAGAAGTGAGACTTAGCTTCCATGCATGAATCACTGATTTAATAATTTATAACTTTCTATGTGTTTAAGTATTCATCACGAGCAGGTATTTTAGAAAACAATGTCAATAATAAAATTTCATTTGAAATTATTCGGCGTTTGATTTTGAGATTTGGATAATATATTTTTCCTTTAATGGAAATGAACTTATAATGTATAAAAATGTTTTGGGGCAGAAATTACTGCAGTGTAGAAAAGCTATTGTTCTGAGATGCCTCATGCGCGATTTATGTCAGACAACAATTGAAATGATGCATTGATTGATACATTTTACGTTATTCTTTGGTATATTTTACATAAAAGGAAAACTTTTCTGAGGAAAAAACACATTCCAGAAAATTTCGTCCCGATAAGTTCCCCTCTACATGTGTATGTATGCACATGTTTTCAAGCGGAGGAGGCATTTGACTACCATCAAATGCATTGATGAATATATGAAAACAGAGTGGAACGAGGGATAGAACGTTGAGTTGCCCTTCTCAAAAATTCGTTTTTGCTACTGCTGCTTTTCTTGCAACTATTTCCAGATAACCATTTACTCTCTATAAAAGGCTGCTGTTTTATTTATTCATTTTTTTCAACTTGAATAAATCAATAACTATAAATTATGAAGTAATCCTAATAGAATCAATAGTCATAACTAATCATGACAGCTGCTATTCCTGTTTTTATAATTACGTTTACTTTGCCACTTAATTTACATTTGTGTTATAAAGACACAAATTGAATCGCTTTTTTTTTATATTCCAATTAAAATGTTGAAAATTAATTCTACTTTTTATGTGAAGTGAATTTTTTGAAATTTTTTTCTCACAGAAATGAGTAATTAAGTAAGCTTTAGCACTTAGTAAATGTTTCCGAACATAGAAATGGCACTTTTTAAAAATGACAAAATCGATATCAGAAATTTTCTTCATTTCACATCAAAATATATGAAATATAAAATTAAATTGAAATATAGAGAAACTGTTGTTATGTAATCATCAATATTTTGGTCAACAAGATTGTTTTGATTTTCTCGGGATTTCTCTTACGAATAATTTCCGATAACTTTTTGTATTGCTCTAAACAGTAGTTTAGAAGGATCGCGAAAATAGATAACTACGAATATAAGTTATATATTTATTTGGTTATATATCATATATTGGTTCTGATTTGGATCTGAATTTAGAAACTCGAAAATATTTTTTAGAGGAAATAAATTCACGAGTAGATAGATTTTGCTTTTTGGACAGTTCATTGGTTTTTTTCAAGAGGAAACTAATTTCTGAAGTTATTTTAGTGGAGTCAAATTTTAGAAATGAAAAGTTCCAGAAAATGTTGTTCCAGAAAAACATTAGATTTAATAAACATAGGAACTATCCTTGGTTGGCTCGCTCACTTCATGTCACTTCATTGTTTTCTCTTTATTCCTTTGTAATTTAATAATTGCAAGCTATAGTTTGTTTCAGATCATATTTAACTCCAATAGCATTACGGCATAATACTTTATCATCTTGTAAGGAAACCGGAACTAGCAGTACATACGATATTGGAAATAGTGACAATAGCAGTGAGAGACTTTGTACAGTTCCAACAAAATATTATCATAACAACGTGACGACATCGATTACCATCCCCTACAACATCACTCATTCAAAACAGTCCTCAGCAGTTGTACTGCAGAATGCTCAGAAGGTATTACAATTTTTAGTTGAAATCGAGCCAATTTATAATAAAAACCAACCCCTTACATTTTCTTATAAATGCTTCATTCTTTTATTTCTTATGCACTTATTACATGCAAAAAATTTTTGGCCTGACAGGTTATGTTTAAGTTTTAAATGATGAATGAGAATCTTCAACTGGAAATTGAACTGGAAAGCTTAGTAAGGTCCACGAATGCTGTTTCCATTATTTAGAATCTCCAAAAAAATGCCTACATTTGAAACAGTTCTAATTTTTCGAAAACACTACACTTTTACCATAATTGGAACTTTGAAATATTGCACTTTTTTTTGAATGGGTAAAGATTTTTTTTTTTTTTGAAAGGTTCACTTTTTGAATGGATAAAGATGAGGAATTGAGATTGACCATTTCAGATTTATTGCACTCCAGACTAGGATAGTATTTTATTTAGGAAATGTTATGGAACTATCCATTTGTTTTCTTAGTTTTTTTTTTTTTTTATTTTTCAGGAAACTAATAAAGTAGCGGTCGGAGTGGTAACATTTAAACAAAAAAAGCATCTCATAAGAGGATCTCATCCATTCGTGATGACACAGCCAACCGACTGCTCTCAAAGCGTCTGCCTATCTCAAAGTTTGTTTTCTTTTCATTTCCTTTTTCTGAAATTTATATATATATATATATATATGTTTCTGATAATTATTTTGTTTTGTACCTCCTCTTTTTTAGCGGCCCTTTTTAGCATGTGTCAAAGTTTTTAGTATATTCAGAAAGTGTGGCAATGTGGGGGGAGGGGAGCCTAGAGATTGTTGAAACTTGAAGATGTGAAAAAAGGAATCTAAGCTTGAATCTTTCCCACAAAACACTGGCAAAAGGAGAAAGATTGAATCATTTAAATAAAAAAGAGATCTACTAAATGTATTTTTTGAAAAAGGTCATTAACTACATATAGCAAAAATGTGAATAATTAAGGCAGTGAAGGGAAACAGAAATAGATTGATATGAGGAATGGGAATAATAGGAATATTACTGGCTTGATTTTATTTTACTGCATTTCATTCAAATCGGAACATGTTTAAAAGCAGTATATCAAAGTAAACTAGGAGTGCTGTTGAACTTGAAACTTAATTAACACATAAATTTCTAAGATACCTAATATTCCTCTAAAAATCGAACTACTGTTATATGCTTGAGCGCAGAGAAGTGCGGAGGAAAGGTAAAAGTTACAGGCGTCAAAGGAAGGACAAAGGAAAGAGGAAAATTTGAAATTCAAAAGAAAAATATTTGGTTTCTGCAATATAAATTCTAACAGCTTTCAACATTTCTTGCAAAAATTTTATTTTTATCATTATTGGTAATCATTGAAAAGCTTTATGAATAGAGCGCTCCGTTTTAGAGTATTTTTTCCTCACTTCAGCAACAAAACAGCTGGGAAGCTTTTTTCTAATTTCATTCGCTAACTACAAAATATTGAAAACAGGCATAAATGAACTAATAAACTTTTGATTAATAATGAATTTCCGATATTTCTTCGCCTGTAAGTACAAAGAATACATTACCTTAGCTGAGTGAAACCATTTGATGAAGTGATTCATCTGTAAATAAATTCCGAATACTTGAAATAAACAGTGCATACGAAAACATAATATTTTCCCTTCCCCCTCCCTCTTCGCTCCCTCTCCTATTATGTAAGTTTTTAAATTCAATTATAAAATTTACCCTGCGAAGAAAGTTTTGTTCCAGTGTTATACGTTAGTTTCTTATGTTTTATGGATAGCAAGTTGATAAGCATGAGTTGCATGAAATAGGTAATTTATTTCTTGAACATGACTGAAATTTTACAGTTTTAAGTGTAGAGTTTTATTTGTTTAAAAGTCCTGTATTTCTCATCATTTAACGCTTCCATTGCATTACTTTTTTTTTTATAGATCTTCTACCTCCAATTCATGAAACACTAACGTCATTTCGTCAGCCTTCGTCTTTATTGAATGATATGATGGCTCCTGGAAGTCATCGTCATCGTCTTCAAAATCAGATGACATCAACGGATGTGGAACGATCTCTTGATAGTTTCGAGCGAAACCAACAACATATCATTGCACAACCATCTGGTACATCAAAAAATACGACTGTCATGCAGGATGTTTGTTCCGGCGTTAGTAGTGATGTTGATAATAGCGATACAATATACACTCAGCAACAAATTACGGCGATGGTATCGGATGCTGATTGTATGTACAATCGACGACAGCTTGCTGCAACGGAGCAACCTAATGCTATGAATTCGTATCATCAAGGTTCATATACTGTTTTTATGTAGTAATTGTCGTTGATCTTTGATCCTTTCTGTACTGCATCTATGCTTTTATGTTAATTACATTATCAGATCATTAACAAATTTCAATATAAGCAACATAGGTATGTGCTTGTAGTGATTATTATTTTTTGTACGGCTTGATTGTACGGTCGACAATATAATTTTTGAAGTGACGAATTTTATTTAAACTTACTTGCCATACTCTACTTAAACTTTTGAAGAATGAATATGTTTTAAAAACAATTATTCTATCTGATTATTAACAAAAAGTCATTTAATTTGTTAGCATCGGTTCGTTTGGATATTTACTATCTTTTCTTTTAACTTCAAATTTCAGTTTATTGAAAAAAGAAAAGGAACCTATGATAATAATCTCAGTTCTTTCTATTTTGTACTTTGTGATATACACTGATTGAAATAAGTGCCGCTGGTAAAGTAAGATTGGCTAGTTAGATTAAACTGCATTCCTCATCAGATTTATTAATCTCTTTTTAAAGAATTTAAAGCGTATTGTGTTCTTTTTTTTTTTTTTTCTTTAAATATGGAGTCAAGATTTATAAATACGAAATCAAGATTTTCTTTTCAAATCTTTTTCATTATATATATATACATAAAATGCAGCGTAACTACATTGCAGACTTAACAGCGGAATTGATACCAGCGACCAGCATTGTCAGTAATGATCGTTCTGATGAACGGCACTATTATACAGCAACGACTGGCTCACGTCCTCAGCAACATTTTATACATAATAATTACACTCCATCCGGTCTTTGTAAGTTCTAATTTCATGAATTTTCAAAAAATTTTTACATATGTCAAATTAAAGAATGGATTGGGGGGAAATTATCATAGAATTCAATGAATTCTTCATTTCTGATTAGTCAACACAGTGATATCAGCAATATTTTGCAGAACACTGTGTGATGTATGTTCGAAAAAGAAGTGGATTTATATATTATTTTGTTTCATTTGTTTAAAGCTAAGATTCTTTTTTCATATCTTCTTAAGAAATGAAACTGCACTGTAATAATTTTTGCAAGTGCAGTATGGGATATTGGCAATTACAGCTTTTTTTTTTTTTTGTTCTATAAAAAAAAAAAAAATTTTTTTTTGTTCTATTTTCTGTTCTATAAAATGAAACATACCTTAAAAATGATGGAGCAATTTAAATATGTAGTAATAGCCTTTTTTTTAAGTGTGTTCATTGCTTACACACCTTATTTGATTTCGCGTCCATCTTAAATTCTCAGTTTCTAAAAGATTTTTATATTTGTATTTTCTGAACTTTTACACTGTTTTTAAAGATTTGGGGAGTTATTTGCTGCAGGCATATCGGATATAATCTCGTTATTCATTCCCTCTGTGGGAAGAGGAGGTAGAGTAGTCTTTTTGATCTGATTCTGATTCTGTTTCATTGTTGCATTTGACAAAATAATGCAATACTTTGGTTTTTCTACAATTAATTTTGTTTAAAAAATATTTTTTTAGTTGTTATTTCATTTAGCAGTCAGCTGTGATTTCCTTTCGTTTTTCGAGACTGAAAATTATGGGTGGTTTTTATCCTCATTTATTTCTTCCAATTTGTACATTTTCCACCAAACAGTTACTGATAGCCTCGGACGTGGGTGATTACTCTCTATATTAATTGTTGAGTGCTTGGGATATTATTATTTGAAATTTTTACAAGTTTTACTGTTTGTATATTTATCTAATTACGGTTAGTTGGGTTATAAGAAGTCTGGATACTTTAGCTCTCTTAAAAATAATATTATTTATGCTGCAACATATCTTTATATTGACAGTAGTTTAATAATTTTTAACAAATTTATGAATAGCTAATAAGGCTGTGAACCTTGAGGACTTTGAGATTAGGTCTTTCTAAAGATATTTGGGATTACCGACCAGTAATGTGTTACAGAAATTCATGAATTGGGTCATGGAAAAGATCGGAAATATTCATTGCGGTATATTTAGCGGGTTTTTACTTTATATTGCTGCGCATTTCAGCTGCTGAATATGCAAAAAGTGATTTTGACCTTTCAGATGGATATTTCCGGATGTATATGGGGATTATTAATTGATGTAGCAGTGGTTGGAGTGAATAACTGCTGGAATGGTAAATTCATCACCATGGTGATAAGGAACGTGGGGGTCGTTAATATTTGTTTGTATTAGTTATCATTTTTTACTTCTAACGGGCTAAAGATTTATGAATATCTAAATTTTTGATTACTTCATTTTTTAAAGCTTTTTCCAAAAAGTGCTTTATCCTTCTGAATCTTATAATATTACCCTTTTCACTAGTCAGTATTTGGCATCGTAAAGTCAGATAGAGTATGGAAAGAACTGTGACGAGTGGCAATTACAATATTTTTTTTTTTATATTCATATTTTAGATTGCATTAGGCTCGGAAGAATTATCAATTATCATCTTGATACTTCGAAGTAATAGTAGGTTATTTAGGAAGGAAAAATTAATGAGCATCCTGCTAGTATTTAGTACTGGAGAAGATAACAGCATGAGTTGGCTAGGTGTTTTTTTTTCTATATATCTTTCAAAGCTGTGAGCTTAATTTTCAAGTTTTTTGATTTGTCATCATTTCTTATCATCTCTTCCACATAATTTCTGAAAATATTGATACGCTCTTTAATTCATCTGGAATACAGATATTTATGATCATGGAGTAGTGATGACATGTTCTCCTATTTGTTGTCCTCATTGCTGTCGACTTCTGTGTTCTATGTAAATTTATTCTTTATTTCAGCTCAGCAGCAGATGCTGACGAACACAAGAAATGCAGCAACATTGGCGGAAAAGTTACCTGGATTACAAAGACAAACTTGTCAATTTATCAATGCCACTGAAACTGACCATAACAGTGGAGCAGGTGAAACTGATTTAAATTTTTTGTGATATCAGTTCAAGTTGAGAAATAATGCGAATTTGCTGTTGCAGAAACATTTAACAACATGTGCAGAATACTGATAACAGTTACATCTGATTTGAATGTCTGCATGTCCCATTTCGCAGACATTGCAATTACATATTATAGGTGTGCTGCACATACTATTCTTTGTCATGTGAGTAATTACATTTAATTAGTTTTTAAAACAATAAGTTATCGAGTAATTATCTGCAGGACCGTACATGGTAGTGAATCAGCAACAGTCTGTTGGTACTTGTGATTATCTGAACACTAGTTTAAGCAACGGTGGGAGCAATATGAACAGTGTGATACCATGTTCGAAAGGTACAGGTTCGTTGGTAACAAATGCAAAACATTTTGAGTACTACGTATAACCTGTATGCTTAATAATAATAATGGTAGTACTAATGGAGCGAATAGAGATATTGATGAAGATGGAACAAAACTTCAGCGTTATACACCAGCTCACGGAATGTTATAAGGTCTGCAACTGCCTAGAGATTTGTCCGTTCGCTTATTGTAACTAATGCTACTACCGTGTAAGACCTGTGGCTTTCTCAGGAGATCTTAATGTGCTATCAAAGATTTTGCCACAATAAAGTAATCTTCACAGTACTATATTATTTGATTTTTATTAAACTTTAGTATGTAGTTCGTTTTTTGTTTTTTTTTTTTATTAAATTTTACGTAATTTCGTTTTCGAGTAAGATATTTGTAGTATTAGTTTATTCTTTTTTTGTGCTGAGAAGTGGCAGATGAACATGGATATAAATTCAGAGGTGGAGAGCCTATCTTCAATAAAAAGTTAAATTAGATGCTGCAGGTTGAAAACAATCTTAATATCTGCAAAGTAATTTAAAATTCTGGGTTCTTTTCATTTTTTCTGCGTCTGGTTTTTAGTTATATCATTTGTCCTACATTTAATCTTTGCGCCCGGTATATGTGAGATCACTCTTTTTTATTACTTTTCTTGAAAAAAGAGTTTGAATGAATGTAATTTAAGGATTAATAATTTTTCTTAAATTTTGTGCTGATTCATTAGTTTGAGAACCGATTTTTTTTTCTTCTCTTAAAGAGATGGCATTTATTTTTCTGGATTTTTATTTGAAACAGCACCACTTCATGTGGTCAAATTCTATGTTGTGTTTTAAATTAACTGATATAATTCTTTCATATTGTGAAACTAAAGCTGCTCAATAGTTTGAATTATGGTATTATAGACTTAAAGTTAGATTAACTTCTGAAAATTTACCACTTCTCATGAATTGATAATCCACATATCCCGCTGAAAATAGCCTTCTTATATTCTGCTTATAAGTAAAAGTGGTTATTTTGATAAAAGTATTATCTGCAAGTAATGTAAATGTATCGACGTTATAGGTGAATATATTCGAAGTAACATTCAAAATAATTGTATGGATAAGCAGAATATTTGCTGTCCATGGATTACCGTAAGAAATTACATTTTATTTGCAACATTTTTGGAAACTATATCATTACGGAGTTTTATTCAGCAAATTTATGCTTTCCTGAGTGCATTTTAATATGTAATTGTATCATTGAAAACTTGCAGTACTTCTTGCTAAGTTAAATTTTTATTATTCAGCAACATATACAACAATTAAAGCCGCTCAATTAGTGTATATAGACATTTTTTAAACATCACGGATCGTCGTTCCTACTACCGAGTTAGATAATTGTCAATAAATTTGATACTAAGTTGATTGCGGTATATGTTTTTATATATAATTGAACTATAATGCGTAGTGGGAATATGAACTTTTTTGCAACGTTAGATTTTCGGATGACAAGCAAGAAGAAATGAATTAGATGAAAAAATTTCATGCATTTTACACAACATAGTAATTATTAAGGAAAAACCATAATCTGTTTTCTAAACTCTAAATCCTTAATGCTTTAATCATGCTTCATCCTCACCTTTTTAATCAGCTATTAGTTGGTTTTCTTGTCATCATTAATTTGCAGAATTTTGGCTTTGTTTCGTCATTAATTTGATGTTTTAATTTCTCTATGCTATCTTCCCTCTTTTTTTTTATGTTACCAGATAAAATAAACTGGATTAGAGAAGAGATAGGAAGAAAGTGGAGAGAAAAGGACGCAAAGTTACAGATAAAAGTAGTAGTAAGGCGTAATTTTACAAAAGTGCTATGGAAGCAATAATAGCACATAATTTCCTGGGACTGCCAACGTTGTTACTGTTGGAATGATAATCTGTAATATCGAGATTTTAGAAATGATGAAAGAAATATGTCATCTTTTACCTTCATTTTGATACGATAGATAATTTTAAGTCTACGACATTAAAAGTGATAAGCTTTACTTTTCAATCTGTCCAGTGTTTAAGTGTGTTCATGTGTTTTTATCACTCTATGCCACTTTAGTTTTCTTATTACAATTAGTTTTTTATTTGAATCTTACTTCGAATTGAAGTTTGTAATGATGAATCGAAACAGAAGATAGAGATTGATATTATATAAAGTGTTTGGTACGAATAGACATATCTGAACGTGACCTGTTCCTTCCCATCGTAACATGCCCTTCGTTTATTAGAAGTTTCTACCAGATTAGCTCTTCTGCGGTTCTGTTAAGTAGTTACTGTTTTTGTTTCATTAATTTTTAAAAATTTTCTACGATTCTAGTGCTTAATTCGTTTGAATACATTTTCTGATATTTATGGATTTGTTTATCTTTTTATATTCCTCAGAAAATTGTCAGTATTTTAGGTGCGTTAGGAGTGAGCGATCCAGTAATAACGGGTCAGCGAACTTATTTGCTTGGTAGTACCAGTAACAATAGAAGCAATAACAATGGCAGCGGAAGGCAAATAGATACAATGAATATGTCAAAAAATTATGATACCTCTTCAGGAAATAGCTATCAAGTGCAGCAGCATTATGTTCCTATGCGATCATCATTCAGGTCAGTTCATGTCTTAGCTCGCTTTGAAATATTATCTTGTCGTCGTGATTAGCATAGAACGAAGAGGTAATATCGAGACCTAGCAATATATATCCTAAGAAGCAGAAAGCGGTCGGAAAATTAATGCTTTGATTCAAGTGACATTTCTACTTGTTGACTAAGGTTTTCTACTTGTCAAGGCCAGTTGGTCCGATTCCACTAGTGATCAAATCCATAGTTTAACTTAAGTTTCGTTTCCATCTAGTATATAAGCCTTATTTATTGCTGTTGCACTCATTGCTCTCCTTTTGATGTACTATTAAATTAAAAGCTCTTAGGATAGTAAAATACTAATATATGTTGTGTATAGAACGGCTGAGCCGTAGCATTCATGAGGTGAGATGGTGGAAGGCGTTATGCAAAGGAAAAATTTTTGTGAAAATGATTTTTTTTTCGTAAACTCATCGGTTTCTGTTTCGTTGTGTAAATGTTTTTATAAAATACAACACTGTAAGACGTCCTTTCCTCTGTCTCTTTTTCTTTCTCCATTCGATGTAGCAGTATTGTTTACATTTCGATTTATATTTTTTAGCTGACATCCATTTCTTGCTTAGCTTTCAATTCCGCTCAAAAATTTGTTCTTACTTATTTGGTGGGATTACTTCATTATCTCGATAGGCTATTATTGGAGGTACTTCAGTAATAATTAGTTTTAAGATGTTTCAAAGAATAAGCAAAAGATTTTTTTAAAAACATTCCACTGAGTTATGCAAAGAGAGACGATAGTATATATTCTAGTAATTCTATTGCTTATCCAAAATTTGAAGAGCTAATATTTTTAAAATGAACAAGAAATAGTCAAAACTGTAACTCATATTTTAGAAATTTGAAAAAGAAGGAAAATTTTCTTTGCGGTGTATTTTTCATGGAAGTATAGTATATGTTATGTCTTTTAGATCGTCAAATACAACTGAACGAAAGTCAAATCGTTCATCGTCCAAAAAAGAACCAATGGATCCAAAGAATGTTGAAGAAGAAGTGGCTAGGTGTGTTTTTTCAATCTTTAATTTTGTCCCCTTTTACAAATTAAATTTGCTAGAATTTTCATTGTTTGAGTAATAATTTATGAGAAGTGTTTCTGAAAATTATTTTTACAAGTTTTTTGTTGTTGTGGCCATAAACTTATTCGATAGTAATGTGGGGAGTATCACGAAAATTTGTACTTTCAGGAATGTTTCGCAGATTCTAAGTGCATCACTGAATCAGAAGTCATCATCAGGTTTGTCACCCATCCTTCAGAATTTTCACTTAAATAGTTCGTAAATAGGTATTCTATTCTAATTTCTAACTTCATGTTTTAGATGGATCACTTCTTGAATGTCATGAATTAGCTTTCCATTCAGAATTGCTTGTCTGTATTAGATTAAACTTACAAAAAAATTCAAATTTGCATATTTTTTACCAGTAATTTAAATTTTACGAACTTAAGAAAAAACTAGTGAAGTGGCTACAGTTTCAAAATATTGGAAAGTTTAGAAGGGAAAATGAAAGAATAAGAACAAGGACTGCTGAGGGGAAATATTAGTTTGACAGTTGTGCTTATCTGTTCCTTCTAATCATTTTTATACATACTCTTTTCTAGTTTTCCTTACTATATAATTTCATTACGTGACTGTACTGCATTCATCTGAAATTTGTTCTTGTTTATTTATAAGAATATGACTTATTAAGATAGATAGTTTTCATAATTTCGCTAGATATCTCTATAAGAACATTCCCTTTTTCTCAGAATTGCAACTTCAGGTTTTTCGTCAACAGCAGGAGGATCAGGTGTAAATGGCTCATCCAGCAGCACTACTGCTGCATCACTGTGTTCTGCAACAACAGCTAAGAAATCATTTACTTGCGTTGATTGTCATAAAACTGTAAGCACCTCTCGTAATTTACAGCGTCATCGGATGTCCTGCAAATTAGCACAGGCATCGTCAAATTCCGGAAAATCGATGACAGCTGGCGCTGGACAACTTCAAGCAACTGTTATCACCATGCCTTTAAATTCCACACAAGTTTGTTTTTCTGAAATTATTTGTTTGAAAAGCGTACTAAAGATAGAATTAAGGAATGAAATATAAAAGTGGTGCTGGTTCTAAATTAAAAGTATGATTCGTAAGACATTTATGAGATATGTAAGTCGATAGGATAAGTAATGTGATATGTTTGTGTCTAGCTTATTTCAAGATTATAATGGTTCAATATCATCCTAACAGAGGTAGCAACCGAGAATATTAATAGTTTGGTATTATTATTTAATATGGGAAATTGAATTATTGAAACTGAATTATTCTAAATCTGATTTTTTATGAACTCTTTAATGATTTACATAATTTTTGTAATTGTTAATTTGAAGATTAATGGATTATCAAACGCATATTCGGCTGATCAGAGGTGTATGAATAATGCAACAACAAGTTCAGTCTCATCATCAGCAATAGTACCAGTGACAAACGTTGTTCCTGTATCTTATAACAATAATTTATCCGAGTCACTTAGTGGTACCGTTGATGTCTCATCGGTTAACAGTCAACGAACCGCACAAATTTATACCACTCAACCGGAAATGATTGCTCCGGATGAAAGGTTTTGTTTTCCGGCATTTTTTAGTTTTACTTAGAGTTTTACTTAGATACATTGTGGAATACGAAATCGTTCTTTTCGAAAAAATTCCATTTTTTTACATATGCACTGGGACTTGTTAACGAGAACAGTGTTTAAAGAATATGAGATGGCGTTGTTAATTAAAATGGTTATAGTACAATTAACTGGTGCCGAAGCTCCATTAATGTTGATTTAACCTTGATCTTTTTTTACTACCCAAATTTCGTATTAAAAAAAAAAAGGATTTAGGTTGAGACCAGTGTGTGAAGATTCATATTTGGATAAAGCAGTAGCAGAGATGACACGAAATGGTGATTTAAACACAGTAACTGCTGGAAGGTATACTCTTTTCCTGCTGTTCAAATATCTATAATACATATTTTACTTTAATTTAAACACAGTTGCTTAAATAAAAATAAATTCTATAAGCTTTAATTATAAAATGGGTAATCGTGGAATTAGCCAATTTTTTCTCTCGATGTGACAATATTTAATTAGCAAGAAATTATTTCACTGATTAAATTATTAATAAGCAATAAAGCATTCTGCATTGAAGATGGTGATCATAGATGACCTTGCATACATGGTTGTTTAATCCTATTTTATTCAATTTTACTTTTGAACTGTTCTTTTTGAAAACCTGAAATGTTACGCTTTTTCTGTTAGAAAAAGTAACTGGTGTTTAAAATGCTTGAACATTTGATTTGGAAGAATTAAAAGAAGAATTTATTTATCCATTATCGAAATGTAACGATTAACAATGATGACAAGATTAACAATGAATTCAAAGTTTTCAAATAGAAGGGAAAATGAGATCAAAAGACTGTAACTAGTGGAAAAGGGATGTGTCTTTGTTTTTTGACGGTTTCCGAAGGCGATGATTTTTTATTTTTCGTTTTGTGAATTATTTTGCTTAAATTTTTTGAAAAAAGTTCACTCCCGCGGTTTTGATAATTTTTTCACTTTTTCGAAATCAAATAGTTTTTATTTTTTTCTGATTTAACATTTATTTTTTTTTTCTTTTTTGATGCTTGAAATTCTGTCTAAAAAAGTTTTAAAAATGTGGAAAGAATTGTTTATCTAGAACAAAGCTGTAGAAAATGGTTCTGTTTTTGAAGAAATAGTTTTTCGGGACCATGCTTTAAATTCATGACAAATTTTCAGGAGAATTTTGACCTAGCTATTCAGGTTCCAAATCAGTGAGAAGAATAAATTCCAAATCAGTGGCTTCAAGCTTGTTAGCAAATTGAATTTTTTAATGCTTGCGCTTGTTCGTATGTCTTAGAAGAATTATAATCTGTTTCTTTTTGTTTTGTTTTGTTTTCTAATTTGATTTTTCTTATCATGAGAATAAATTTTAGGCTGGCTTCAAGCTTGTTAGATGAAGATGACCATACATTTTCGACGATATCCTTGCCAACAGCTACAACCGCAATGGATGATTCCCATCCGTTTCAATCGCCTATCCAAACATCGAACAATGAACCAGTTAATCTTCCTAACTTTATACAACACTCAGTGCAAATCAAAAAATCAGTATGTCTTTTTTAAAAGAATTTCGCGCTTATTATCAGCAAACTTTTCATATTAATGAAGCAAGTCATTGAAAGTGAATGATACAAGTCTAAGGTGAGATATCTGAAATAAAAACGAAATCCACTGAAGCACAGAGATTCTTCATTTCTTTTAATTTAATCTGCACCAATGCATTATTTTTTTCAAAGATAATTAGTGGTAGTTTTTTACCTTAGAGTAATTCAATGCAGCTATACCGATGTGAATCATGTAACAAAACGGTCAGTTCGAGCAGAAGTTTGAAAAGGCATCGTAGCACCTGCAAACAGTACCAGCTTCAATATGGGCAATTGAGAGAAAACGCATCTGATAATATCAGTTCCACAGCGGTTCCTAAAAGGTTAGACAATTGCAGTGAGAAAAAAAGAAAATCTACGTTCTTACGCGAAGTAGATTTGTAATATGTTCCTGCTTAATTTGTTCAAATTTAAGATCCAGATTTGTTGATGTTCAATTTATAGAGTAAATTACAAATTCTGATAAATAATATATTTTATTAATTTTGACAACAATATTATGGTCGCAAAAGTTGCACTTTCTTCCAATAAACTTCTAATTATACTACATTTTTTTGGTGGTGCATATATTGCTGAATGTTTTTGTAATTCAAGTGCAAATACTTCACATTTGGAAGTTACCCACTTGGAAATTTTCTGAGAAGCTTAATTTGAAATGCCTCTTTCTGTTCTCTATAACATCTTTTAGTACTTTCAAGTTAAAAATATATTCTTACTGGCTGGGTATCAAAGCTTGATCCACTAATCCATCTGTTAGGTAGATTTAGCTGTAATGTTTGAATGACTGTCATATGACATGATAGTCATTCAAATTAGCGAATGAAAGATTGTGTTGAATTTACTGCATGCGAACTGATTCTTCGTTTTTTCTCTGATCTGCTTTGTTAGACAATGAGCTTTGTGTACTGCATGAAATACTCCTTTTTCACAATATATAGATGATATAATTAGGCACTCTAAATATAGAAATGTTTTCCGCGTTCAATTTGTCAATATGTATAATTCTGTTGCTCAATATTGCGTTTCAGTAATGCTATTTGCTTTTCAGTGAACCACTTCTGTCAAAGTCGGTGATTGAATTATCGTCTTCACAGGAACTGTTGTTGCAGCGACAATCTCTTGCCTGTGTTGTTACTGAATTGCCTATCGTTAATAATACCGTTTCGTCGGCTTCCTGTAGTGCGCAGATTCAACCAGAAGTTCAAATCTCCAGGTCTGTCAGATTTCTTTAGTTCGATTTTTTTTTTTACATTACCTCTGTAAATACATGATTGATTCCAAGTCCAGTTCTTCTATTAGTTTCATCAAGATTTTGAACTGTACTTTAATAATATAAGTCTTAGTAAAAAAAAAGTACTTATTGTATTAAATTCTATTTCCAATAATTTAATCCGTAAAAAGACGGTAAAGATCATAGGAACATTTCAGAATTGTATAGAATTGTATAGGTATAAGGTGAATAAGCTAGGATCCTAGAATTAATCAATTGATAAATTTCGATTTTTTCTTTTATTGTTTTTGATAGACTTGCTAAACTTTGAAATTTTCATCGAAGATTGCGGGTGGTGTAGTAGATTGGTCTTTTGCTTGTAATACTAATTGTTTTAGTGTGGAAAGTGGTCTAGTACAAAATCGAACAAATAATAATAGTATAGCAACAGCTGGCACATCTGTCAGTGCAAATGTTTGTGAGGATTGTAACCGAATTTTATGTAGTGCATCGAATCTGAAACGACATCGCGCGACATGTAAAGCGGCTTCCGTGTTCAAGTATGTCTTGTCAGTCACCAAATTCTCAAAGCTTTTAAAGAGATTTGATTAATTTTCAATGAAAAAGTGATAATCTTACCTTTTTTGGTCTAAAATCTCTTATTACTAATACTGAACATGACACTAACATTAGTGAACTTAGAGAGTAAGCTTGTGTAAAATGATCCTTGTGTACTTGTTTGAAGGTTCAAGAAGTGGGCTTCGCTCTAAATTATGCTATTCCAATTATTTCAGTTTATATCATGCTTCCTGAAACTTTGGAATCATATACAAGCAATTTTATGATTCATTATTCAATTTTTTCCTTGCTTTTTGCAGACCCGGGAACAACAAACTTGAGGATCGACATTCAACCTCTGTTCTTACGACTTCATTGAGCACTATAGTAGAACAGCCACGTAGGGAAGAGCAACAATATAAAAACGGTCAAGTTGACGAACGTGAACGTTCAAACTCTGATCGTTCGTCTGCTGCAATGCTTGCTGCAACAAAAGAGGCACAAAGTGTAGCTATAGCTGCAGCAACCATCGACACTGCTAATTATTCCAAAACAGCCGCAAATGCAGCACAGCAACGGTTGAACAATGATGCATCGGTTACTTATATCACATATGATACTAATATAATGTCACTACAGCAGCAGCAACAGCAACAGCAACAACAACAACAACAACAACAAATTGCAACTGAAGTGCAGCCAATTTCGCAGCTGGAATCACTGAAACTCGGAGCTGCTAAAGCCAAACCATGGGTCATTTTTCTGTCTGTGAAAGTTTAGGAGATTTACTTTTGCATATTTGCAAATATTTTTTGTTTCTTACTAAATTCTTCATTTTCGAAAATCCAGATTATTTTTTCTTGAAGATTTTTCCTCATTGAAATATGCAGTTTATGTATTTGAATCATATTTATTTGAAGATAACTGTTGGTGAACATTTGCGAGCACGACATAATCAACGTATCATCCAGCAACGACAGCAACAACAACAACAACAACAGCAGCAGCAGCAACAACAACAACAACAACAACAACAACAACAACAACAACAACAGCAGCAACAACAACAACAACAACAACAACAACAGCAGCAACAACAACAACAACAACAAATAATAGAAATGCAGCGACAACGCGAATTAACCACACCGTATGTACCGGAAGCATTGGGCACTTATGCGCAAGCAGCAACAACGCCTGTTGCTTATACTGAAGAAAGTATTTCAACCCGATTACGGCAGCAACTTCCGAGTTCTGTATTGACGTACAGTGAGAATAATGTCAGTAATGACGACCAGCCCTCGATGACCTTGAAGCATAAGTTAGTTGATAAACCAAAATAATGTATACCAGTCATACTTAACTTGATTCTTAGATTTCAAAAAGCTCATGTTTTTCATCAAAAGAATAATCGGAAAAATGGAAATTGACGTCACCCCAAAATTAGCAAATACCTGAATCATCTCAAAGTTAGCAAATATTTCTATTAATTGAAATTGGATTTGAAAAATTGGTAAAAATGGATTAAAAAGAGTTAAAAGTAAGTCAAGTAGAATTCTAGGAATACAAAATTTTAGGTAATGATTAGTGAGGATTATTTCTATGAATTTGTAAAACATGCATTATATTTATGGAGTTTTGTAAAATGAAACGGTTCAGGGTTGCACATATTCTGTGTGACATATTTTTTTCTTTCGCTCATCTAATATAATTTACGTCCAGAGATACTGTCATTTTTGAAGGGATCCTTTTTAGCGCTCCAAGACAGATGTCCTATTACACAACAAGGGTACATTATGATGGTAATAGTGGCATTATCACTTGTGGTACTTACGATCAGCAACAAAGAAATAGTTTTAAAATGGAACCATTATTGAGGTAAATTGAAGAATGAGATTTTAAATACTTGCGAGTCTTCATTATTTAAAAAAAATTTGATTTTTTTTTTTTAGATAAACAAAATGCTTATTTAAAGAAGGATGAATTTTATAACGAAAATCCAAAATCTTTTAGTACGTTGATAATAAGTTACCGAAACGAGTAACATTGCAGTCCCCATGATACATCTGCACGTGCCTCAGCACCACCAATTCTAACAACTTCCACTACTCCAAGTAATTATTCTGGTACGACACAAGCACAGTTGCCAAAAAATGAGAAATATGAAGCTCGGCCATTGGCAAGTATTATCACCACTGCACCACTCTCCACGTTTGTTATCACAATACTGTTTGGTTTGGCTAACTAGGCAGTTAGTTCGTTAAATTCGTAGATTACAAAATAGTTGTCATTTACTAGTTAAACTCATGATTAGAAGCTGAAAAGTTTGAACTTAGCAAGTAGATTGGATTGAGCAAAGTTTAAATTGGGATTTTTTTTGTATCATAAAAAAAAAAAAAAAAAAACCTTTTTTCAAATTCAAGGTCATGCTCTGCAGCTGATTCAAATCAGTCTCAACGGCAGCAGAGTGCGAACTCTGCACTGTTCACTACACCTGTGGTGTGTGACACTGTGCAGTCGCAACAACCAACACCATCAGCTTCATCAACAACACTTTATCGAAGCAGTGAAAATATATCATCTGCCGCAACTGATAATTATCGTTATGAATGTCCTGAATGTCAGAAAACGTAAGCAACCATCTATATGTTGCGTCGTATAACATTACCTAAAATTATTACGTGATACATTTTACATAATACTGTCTTGTTTAACACAATTCACTATATGTAGCAAGCAATTCATATGGCCCGAGTACGCATAAAGAACAAAATTCTGCATAGTTCATTCAATCATTGTATATAACAACAGCTCAGGCATGTATTCAATATCCATTTGCACTGCATGTTGATATCTAATGAATGAATAGTATCCTGAAAATTTCCACAAGAGTTTAATTTATTTTGTATAGCAAGATGAATCATGCGATCTGCCACTTAAAAATTTGATTTTTCTGTTAGTTTCTAGTATTAAAATATAGGATTGGTTATTGTTGGAAATCAGCAATGTGTACCCCAGCGAGTGTTTCTTTTTCCGTTTTTATTGGGACGAACTGTTTTTTTATAGCTCGAATTTTGAAGATGCGATTAGTCAATCGATTGATCGATCGGGCAGTTGCTCGGTTGAGCGTGCCAGACGGGTTGTTGCTCAATCTGTGTAAAATTTTTGCTGCAAATCTTCGCACTTCATTTTCTGTGGTCGTGGTGTACTGTAGCTTTGTGTCTTTACCCTGCACTCTAAGTTTCAATTTCTGAAGTTTGCTTTATTCTTTAAATCCTTTACTCTGCTATCACATGTAGATTCTGTAAAATTTAGCACCTGAAGTAGTGAATGCTTGATCATGTCATCACAATGATAACCATCCTCCGTTATCATCTTTAAGAAATGTTATTGGAGAAAACCCAATATTTCAGTTATGTTCTATAAGCCAACAAAGTACCTGCATGCGTTTCGTTTCAATTTGTGTCTAATTAGTTGCATGTTAGATAAATATTCTGTATTATTTGTTAATTTCATGCATATTATTTGTTGATTTTTCTGTTTTGTTAATTCTTTGTTAATTCTACCTGTTATTTCCGTTCTGATATCCGATCTATCCATCACTCCAAATTTCCAATATATTTTGATTTTCAGACTATACTATAACTTTTTTCTTAAAAAAATTTCTCACACTTGTCATCTCACTTTTGTTTGCTCCTGGTTTTACGTCGGTTCTAGTCATTGACTTTCATTCTCTTCTGTATTGTTTTGTATGAACAGTGTTTTTTAATATTTTTGATAAAGAATTTTCCTAGTTTTAGGTTAGGGAATATTGTTTCTCCCCCCAAATTAATTTAAAATTTATTGAGTTTCGGTTAATTCATGTTTACTTTTCAGTTATTCTTGTCGGAAAAACGTCAAAAGACATCGTATAGCGGTACATAAATTGACACCTGAAGAAGTGGCCAAAATTGAGCCTATACGAGTGCTACTTACAAATGATAGTGAACAGAAACAACGACAACTGCAGCAACAACGACAGCGACAACTGAGATTACTTCAAACTACCGAATTAAAGAGTATCAAAAGGTATTATTAACTTTTCTGCTTAATTTGGATAGCTTTATTCTTGCAATTTCTTTATCTTTATTATGAAAAAGTATTACAATTCAGTCTTCTTACCTCAAGGCATTCATGGAAATGTGAAAGTGCAACTTTATTTTCTCTGAATTTAGTTATAATGTCAATTTCGACTTAATTTAACCACGGAAATTAAACGCTATAGACATCTAAATCTTCGTAACTCAAGCTTTTTTTTTTTCTTTTTGCAGTCCGAAACTGTCTATCGAAAAATCAGATATGCACCACCAGCAACAACATTCTTCTGACTTTGAAAACTGTACAAATCATTCAGTACCAAATGTTATGCTACCACAGCAAATGCACCTTCAATTAGAACAGCGGCAACAGCAGCTGCTTCATCAACGTCAACTACAATCACAGCTGCAACTCCAACAGACACAACTTCAGGAACAGCAGCAACAGATCATCTCAGGACCTGATCACTGTAGAAGTTCTGCTGCAGTAACATCAGTAATACCTGTAAGCACGAGCTGGAGATCTTGCATTACACCTATGCCGCCACCAACATCGCAGAATATTGGTGCATATCAGTTAAGTGAAGAAGAGGGTGTACAACTGGCTGAAATTGAGGAGGATTTAAAACGATCTGCAGAATACAAACTGGTAAGTTTTCTATCATTTTCGATTTTGCACACGTCTGATACATGGTAATATATAGTTGAATGACTAAAAGTGTAATTTAGGCTTCAATTTTTGTTTTAAAAATAAGTCCTTGTTTTGTAACTGGATGAATATTAGTTTAAAATTTTCTTGTCTAATGAAAACATGAAGAATAAATTTAAGATATAAGCATCTGAAATATAGCATATGTAGATGGTATTTTATAGAAATTCTATTTCAAATTGGAGTATTCTAGACCGAAGCAGATAGTGAATCGGATAACAGGAGACCAGTGGCTGAATTAGCAGAGGCTGATACAACTTTTCATGAAGAATATGAAGACAGCATTGGGTAGAACATGTTACAGTAGTTTCTTATTTCTAACAGAACAACAATGTTTCTACGAATTCTTATCTTTAATCTGATTATTTATGTGTTACGCAAATAGCTTTCAGATTGCAGGATAATGTGGAATGAAGCTATGTTTTAAATGCTTCGACTAAGCATAACAGAATTGAATTCAAACTGTAATAAGAATGTTAATCACTCTTGTTTTTAGACGATTACATCCGCCATCGCTGTCATCAAATGGCGGAGTTGTGTCACCACCATCAAATCCTCCTTCAAACAGTTCCGTTTCATCAAACTATCCCATTACGAGTCCTATGGTTAGTAGCATTTTTCCATGTAATTAGCATTCTACTACCACGGTTGTAGGGAAGCACCTCTTTATAAATCCTTAATTTGTTCAAATTTTTTAAAATTCTCTATTTGAAGAGACATGAAATCTAGAAAACAGTCTATCTAAAATTCTTGTTTGAACCACGTAAATGTAATATGTTCAATTAGCTTCATACAGATTAATGTAATGCTTATGACAACTAGCAATTATTAATGGTTTCCTTATTTTTGCAAATTTTTAGGCTCCTCAAGTATCTTCTGTTATATCAGAAAACAGTGGTTTTGCGGCACAATTACCGCCGATTAAAGCTCCACCTCCTGTGTCACCGTCTCACTCTTCGCAGCAAATGACAATAATGCAGAATCGGGGTGTATACCATCAATCTCAGTCGTGTATCTCATCAAATGAGAGTTAGTTTTGATGACTTGTATTGTTTTTTGCCGCTTATCGCTCAAAAAACAATTCTGAATGGTAACTACTTCACCTTTAATACTATTTTTTTTAATGGAGATCTAGTAATTTTTAAGTTTGTCATTTTTTGAATGACATTTTCAATGATCTTAAGAAACTTTTATACTTTTTCTAGGTGTAGGTTAACATCCAGAATTTACATCAAGTCTTTCACTGTCGAATTCATAAGTTGGTTCTTTTACTTCAAAGTTTTACCATAGTTCAATATTCACTAATAAGCTCTGTCAGGTCAAACGTTAAACTCATTATCGATGAGTGGTAATCCTGTGTTCACGAAACCAGCGAACGTTGTTCGTTCTCAATACCTCCCATCTATAAAGCCTCCCTCGACGCGAAATTATTTTCATTCATCACCAAAGCAAAAGCAACATATTTGCATCGATTGTAATAGGTTGGTTCATCCTTTTTTGCTGTTTTAAATATGAGAAAATTTTCTGTCTTTTCGAGAAGTAAGTATAAATTACAAATTATAGGACTATTTATAGATATGAGCAAGTAGATAGCTAATATATCGAGCATCTCTTTTCGTAAATGAAATTCACAAGTTCACATTTCTCAGTAGCTCTGTTCTCTGTTTTCATCCTTCCTATTACTTCTGGAGATATTTCTTCAATTTTGTGTATTTGCATGATCTTATTAGAAACAAATCAAAATATCAATATCTTCAATACTTGTACTGCTGTATGTCATGTGTATAATGTTGACGAGAAAATCCAGCGCTCAGATAATTCAAAATGTCTGCGGGGTAAATATTCAGTGTAATCTGTCTGCTGTTTGCTTATACAATTAAAATTGTCGTGTAACTAATTTAAGGGCACTTTCATCAGATTATTCTCTTAAGCGACATCGTTCGACATGTGTAGAAGCGAAAGCTGCGGCTGCAGCAAAAGCAGTGGATACTGTAACTTCTGATGCAGACTTGCAAAATGATGAATGGTAGGCAAGACGTACCAGTTTAAAAAGATTTTAGAATATTTAGGGAAATTGTTATGGGCTTATTATTAATAAATTCATTTACTAACATAAATTCGTCTACTGTACAGGAAGAAAATCATGAATGAAAAGTGTTTCAATTTTTATTATTTTATTGAAGTGTGAGATGTATTTTTAATATTTTTTTAAACAAAATTTTCTTTATTAGCACGTTTTATTCTCGCAATTATATCCCTGTTGCAAATTAAGAGAAAAGAGCGTAAAGCTAAGATGTGAATGCAGTCTTGTTCACTGAAAAATTTTTAGCACAAAAACACAGTCAGAACATTATAATGACTCCGGCAGTTCGAGATCGTCTTCTTCGATGCTTTCAAATGGTCCAATAGCTAAAGAACCTTCGGTAATCTTTGCAGCCATTGTGTATTTCATTCATTAATCTTTGACAAAACAATTCATTATCATTATTTTGAAATAGTATATATATTTTTCTTTCAAATATTCCATTTAAATGAGTGCTGGTAGGCAATATTCAATTGACTATTGAAATGTTTTTTTTTTTTTTTTTTCGAATAACGACAATCATCTTTTCAAAAATTCTTTAAAAAATTTAGATATATTGTTTTGTTTTAGTGTACAAATACTTCATCTTACGGCCCGAGGGATTCAGAATTACGGATTTCCCAGCAGCTTACTCCAGTATCTGCTAAGGTTGACTTCTTGCTTTTATCACCTATTTTTTAAATTTTTTAAGTTCAAAAATTTTTATGTTTTATTGTGAATTATTGTAAATTACTTGAACTTTTTCAGAATACTGATATAATATTATCTCAGACATATTCGTATGACGAAGACGCGGATAATGGTGTGTTGTGTCGTGTTTGTGATTGCTGGTTACCTGGACAGCGGGAATTTGATCGCCACTGCGATGAACTGCATCCAGTTGCTGCCGATCCAGATAGCACAACCGTACCCCAAACGTTAATAATTATTTACAGATTTTAAATGACAAGTGCATAAATACCTGCAGTACCTACTCTCGCCTACTATGCTAGCATATGGACATTTGAATAATAACAAAAAAAAGAAGCATTAGTAATGGAATATATTTTATCGATTATAGTAATGGAATATATTTTATCGATTACAGGTTTGAGCAAACATCGTTACCATCCGGATCAATAATGTTGAGCACGGCAATTTCATCAGAAGTGAGTTTGAATCCGTCCGGTCCCTACTCTGTTACTGCTGCAAACCGAAAGCGAGTGTCTTCGGATTCTCTTGAGTCCGGAAGTTATTTCAGCACTAAAAGTGGGCGGCATTTATGTCAGGTATCAAAGTAATATCCTCTTTGTTTGCATTAGAGAAAAAAGGAAGTAAATCAGTCTTCAATTAAATAACCAGGTATAAGGGGCCCTTAGATTTTCTAGTGTATAGTGGTGTAATTTCAGACATGCGGGAAATATTATTCGTCAGAATGGAATTTGGAAAGGCATAGACGAGAAAGTTGTCCACTGCATATGAAACGGTTAAAAAGTATTGCTGATGAGAGAACAAGGTAATGACCAATGTAGAACACATACTGTTTTAGCTTTTGGTATTTTAGAATTATTTTTAAAAAATTAAGGGAACGTTTCAGTTATAGTTGTTAGAGCTTAGTTCATGTAATTAGACATTGTTAGAGTATCAGTATGATATTGTGGTGTTACTTCGTTATGAGCACTGAACATAAAGTTTGAATATATGAAGTGAGTAATAGAATAGATTTTCTCGATGTAGTTTTTTTTTTCCTTTCAGCTATAGTCAAAGTAGTTTAATTTTTTTAAACTAAACTAAATTATTATTCAAGGTTGGCAAAGTTGGAACCAGTGGATTTGTTGCAGTTTCAGACTACTTTAAGCACCAGATGGGTGGATGACTGCTCTTTAATTGTCGGTGAATCTCGAATTGGTGTTCCGAGAGCGGTAAATTTTTTTGCGACATTGTATATGAAAAATACCCTATAAGATCTTAATGTTGATTGAAAAAGGCAGATTATAAAAATTATTGGTCAGTTTCGAAACGTCTGGAAATATGAGTTTGGATTGTGTAGAAAGCAAAAAAAGAATGTAAAATCACTAATATATTATCTTTATTTTAGATGCTTTCAAGAGCTTCAACATATTTCTCATCTTTGTTTCAATATTATGAAAATCACAACGATGTTCCATTACCGGTCCCTGTTGATCCCATCGCATTTCATCAAGCTGTGGAAGCATTTAAGGGTCGTTTGCAACTTGACGGTGTTTTTTTCAGTTCCTTTCAGTTTGTTCCATTGATTTCTTAGACATTTAAAAAAGCAAATTATAAGAACTGCTGATCATTTTGGTAGCTTCTGGAAATGTTAGAGTTTGGATTGGTGTAGAAAACAAAAGCGAGATATAAGTTCACTAATATAGTAACAGTTATGTTATACTACTATAGTAATTTGGTTTTATAATAAATTGTTATTACTGTTTCATGAAAATCTTTGTTTTCTCTTTTAAATCCGATGTTAAAGTCAATCTTTTTTTAGGCAAAAATATTGACTGTATATTATTTATGGCAGATAAGTTTAAAATTAAACCTCTTTACGATCGATGCGAGCGTTTTATCGCCGAGAAAGTAAGCTTGATTGTTCATTTCTTCCTTGTTGGTTTTGATACACGTCGATGTTACTCTTGTAAACGTTCTATTTTTATGGATTCTCTCATCGGAATATTTTCGACCATGATACGGAAAAGGTTGCAATAGGGAAGCTGGATATTTAAAATTAAGTGCTTAACTGGATCATGTGTTTATGCGCGGACTAGTTTCATTTTTAAAATCTTATTACTGTGATTGAACTTTTTCAGTTGCCTTCATCATCAGTGATGCATGCCATCCGGCTAGCAGAACAGTATCGAATGTGTGAAATAAAACAGGCACTGTTCGATTCTATTTCTATAGATGTATTTCGTAGTCTTGCAGCGGACGAAGATTATCGTCAGATGGGTGCAGAATTGAAAGCTGAACTGTTGGAAAAGTGGGGTACTTTCTTGTAAACACCTGGAAGTCCTGTTCTATTTTATTATTGTCTCAGGTTTGGCACCTTGTACAGTTACTTTATCATCATTTTTATAAATCGTTTTGTTTGCAGGCCTTTTCACTCTTTTTCCTTCTCCCGAAGGACTGGTGCACTATTGTACAATTCCTTCTTAGACTTTAAAATCCATTTTCGAGACAACTTGCATTTCTAAAGCATTGTAACTTGTAGAAGTAGACATGTAAGTTCTGAATTATGTGAATTTCGGAGCGTATTTAATTAAAATTATAATGCGAATTGTATGCAGTGATATGTGCGTGTACTACAAATTTTTCTTTTTTCTACACTCTATCCTTATTTATACTCTTCAGAAAGTAAGCTAATAATTCTGAATACCATCGCTGTTGAATTTTGTGTATTTAGAGCCTAGTTCTGTTGTGGACACCTTTTTTAGTAGGATGGAGTAACTTATATATGTTGTTTTGGGTATTGCAGAAGGCAACCAGGTTTGTCTTTTGATCTGTGGTACCAATCTTACCAGAGCAGTTTGATGGAGTTGTGGTTATCCGTTGCAAAAAATGATCGTTATGGGTTGAGATTTTCTTCTCAAAAATTATTAGCATATTAATCACTTTTCTTTAGAAGATTAATTAATAATCTGTATCAGTTTGTATATTCTGTCATATATTCAAATTAATGTTTTTGAACCTCATCGTTCGGGTTTTTCAAGGACCTAACACTCCAATCATTCAGAGAGAAGTAACTAAATGAGTGTGAGAGGAGGAAGAGAGTAATATATTAGAATGTTCTTTATATAACTCAGAATATATTTGAGCTGGACTTTTGTATCCTCATTTTTGATATTCTAAATCGAAAGCACAACATAGTGAGATCCTTCCTTTCTTCCACTTTAACATGTATTCTAAATAATGTTGCTTGTAAGTTATTATGCTGCCAGGATCTCAACTAAACGCTGTAACGATCTCTTTGAAATAATTCAGTCTATCCCTTAATTAGTAAACAAGTCCTTTCATCATTTGTTTTTTTTTTTTAAATCACCATTTTATCTGCTATCCATTCATTTTACCGTGAGTAATAATATCCTCTAAGCGTGTGTTATTATAGGGTTTGTTTTTTTTTGCGTGATTTCTGAGTTTCCGATTTTTTTGTTCTCTCTTTATTTAAGAACACATTAATTCGACATTTTATGAAAAGCAGGATTAGTAGGATGTCTTTATTTCTTTGTTTTTTGCTAATTACAATCTGCCTTTCAGGAGGAAGGTCAGGGTTCATTCTATTCGGGTCGATGAAAAAATATCTGAAGTTGCTGTTATTTGAAAATTTTCAGACTCACTCAAATCTGAGTCGTCCCAACTTTCATATTCTCAATAATATCCGAAATGTCTAGAGCTCATTCCCATTTACATAGTTACAACACTTACTTTTTTTCTCCCGTCATACATTACTTCCGACATTTATGATTGGAAAGTCTTTCAATATACCTGCAGGCACGCTTAAAGCTATTTCTTAATTCTTGCTTGCAGGTGTTGGAGCATTCAATTTTAAAAATTAAAACTTTCTCATTCCATCTTTGGTATATATGTATTCTTTTTCTGTTTATATATTATGCGAAACTAATTTCGTTTTTCATTTGAATATTTTAGAAAGATGCTGATTTAAAACGAGCTTTACTTCTGTCCTTCATTTCTTTTGCGCAGTTCCTGTTTTTGTTTGTTTTGATTTTAATTTGTTTTCTAGGGGAAAAGTAGATTTTCAAATTGTCAGCAGTGCAGACCTCAAGCAGAATTTCTTAGTAATAAGCATTCCTTGAATCCTGTATAACTTATTTCCTCAACTGATGATTTTTATATTGTCTATCTGATATGAACTCCTTGCTTTTTAAATAGTTTAACCTTAGTACTACACAAAAGAGAATTAATATGTATTTCAGTGCTTGAGTAATTTATTTCATTTGAGATAGCTTGCACGCACCCTCTGATTTTTAATTTGAAGCTTTTTGCATAGTAACGGTGATGGATATTGCTTGAAGTATTACCAAGCAACATGTTCATTTCATAAGTTGTGCGTTCGATTCAAAGCAGTAGCAAATAAGTTTCATTATTTAAGGAGAGAAGTTTCCTCAGTAAACGGAACTCGTTTGAGTGAAAATTAACATTTTAAAGCATTTCTCTCTTTTTTTTTGCATCCTAAAATTTTGTTCGTTCAGGTTATAAGGCATATTGTGTCAGCTCTTCACCTTATTAAAATCTCATTCTATGTTTGTTGTATTTCTTTTCAGTTTTGACTTTTTTTTTTATCATTATTTCTAAAATCTCTTATCTGTCTTGCAAAAGTTCACACCAGTCGCGTGTGGCACTGTCAATCTTACATTAATTTCTGTTTATGCTGACATTTTTAACGATAACATGCTTCGGTGTCATTAAGAAAAGCATTTGTATCATTATTATAATTTCAATATGTTATAGCATAGCTTTGGAAACTAGATTTCATCCTACAGTAGCTTGATGTTTCATCTAACATAGTCATTTTATTTTATTTCTCACGGGAAAATCATATTCATTAGTTTACATTGTTTTTATATAATTTCCATAATTATTCAATTCCAACCTCAACTTAGTTCAAGCGCTATTAGCAAATATTTGTAATGAAGAAATTCGAGTCTTTATTTTTACTGTTTCTCCATTGCTTATTTACAGTTATGTTAATTTATTTCTCTTTCATTTCCAAGAAAAGTTTTTCAAGTAAATTGTTCTCTGTGAATGATTCGTTAAAACATTTTCTTTTTTTCCTGATATTTACTTTTTTTTCACAGAATTACGGATAAAGCGAAAACACATTTTGTAAATGTATGGATATATTTCTGTTTGCCATTATTTGCGCAATACATTGTGCTGCTTTCGATTTTTTGTGTTCAGTAAATTCAGGACTCAGTTCAGTGAATCGCTTATCCGCAATAGTAAAAACATTTCTTGCTGTTAGAGATAACATTTTTATGGTATTCATATTTTGCAAATTTTTGATTCATTTTTAAATTGAACTCCGCAATTAATTGAATTAATCCCAATCAAACTTGATCATTTTCATCTGAAATTGATGGAGGGAGTTCACTATTTTGAAATGAGCAGACGAATAAGAATTTAATTATTTTGAAAATATCACTTTAAATCATAGTGATCTAATTATGTAGAAAATAGTACTCTTAACGAGTATTGTTCTTCCAGTTAAGTTTCTCATTTTTATTCATATACGACATTGGACAGATTATTTATAAGTGTCACACTGTAGATGTTTTGGGTGAACAGCAGAAAGACAAAATCACTGAACACATTGTATTCATGAACAGTTAATTTAGGGAAAGACCTGAAAATCTCAGAAATTAATAATAATAATAAACCTTGTATAAATTTTTTAAAATAATTTTGAGAGCAAAGTTATGGATTAATTTTCGGATAAGCAGGGTAATACATGGTATGGATTTCATGCAATTATTATTTGTTTAATTGTTGTTGATTTAATTTTTAAAATTTTAGGTTTTAAATTCTACTATTCATTCATCCGATATCCTTTACTCCGTTTTTGCTACCGATGATAACTGATTTACTTCTTTTTCAGAAAACTTGGACTGCGTTATTTCCGCCCTCAAAATTAGTAATGGAGTCAGTATTACCACTCGCTTCGGGAGTAGGCGATAAATTTACTTGGCAAGTTCTGGTAATTTCTTCACTAAATTCAGGAGGCATTACATTGAACACTATTTGTGTGTAAATAGTGATCTTATCTGAAAAAAGATTTAATTGAACTTTAAGCACGAGAATTGTAATTCTTGCATTCTAAAGCGGTGAAAAACGATTCAGTACAAAGTTGTTTCGATATCTTTGCAATTGCGACTAGGCTATGGCAGGTAAACTTACTATTTGCATTGCAACCGAACGTCTTGAATCCTTCAACAGCTGATGGTAAGTGAGTGTAGAAAAACAAGAAGTAGAAGACAAGGCCACCTAGTGCAACTGACCCACCAATATTGCAGATATGGGTATCAGCAATTACTGTTGTCATCACCTGAAAATCATTGTTGTTATAAATTGTCAACTGACAAGTAACATAATCAACATTTCTAAATTCATTTCAGATCTAATTTAATGCCTTACAATGATAAAGGGTTAGGTTGTATCAAAACAAGTGAATATAGTTTCAGAAAGATGTTGAAATTTTTGACTGAGAGAAGATCAAGCTGATATAAGTAACAGATCTATAATGTGTAAAAAGGTATTAGTAGGACGGATGATCTCGAAATTATTTCTACTAACGTATAATAATAACAGTAAGACGTTGCTTGAACACTTCAGTAATAGTTTACTAATTTTTTGCTCATCAGTCTACTTCATTTGCAACTAAGTGTCGTGTTACTCTAAATAATTTCTTACAATCAATTACATTTCTCTCATCTAATTTCCATTCTGATCTTCAAAAGTGACTTTCCATTTTGGAATTTATATAAAAATCAACCAAGGTTGCACAAATAATCATGAAGATGATAGGCATAATAATTGGATTCTGAATAGCATCCCGATGAATTGATTTATGGTGGAAACGAATCCATAGTAGAGCTAGCATTGTGAAAATACGCTGAAGCCATTGGCAGAATGATACGCAATTAATGAGCTGCTACAGATTACCAGTAAATGAAAGTAGAAAGGAAAGTGTAACCTGAAATATGGTCATGTATAGTGGATGTGTAAAACAATTTAACCTTTCACTAATCTTTAATCAAATCTGACTTTTCATTTGTTGTTATAATATTCCAGGAATTTACAATTCATAATGTTGGCTATCAAATCTTGTGAAAACTTGAACTATTATAATAGTATTTCGTTTTTGAAGAGACCATTCCATAAAAAAGAAAGAAAATTTTTTTTTTTCTCTAAAAAAGGGTAATCAGTATAAAACAATACTAAGGTTGATAATTTTGGTGATTTATATATGAATAAAAACATACAGTTTCAAAATGAAAGAAGGTTCATTAAACTCATTTTAAACTCAAAAGTGTCAACTTACAGAAATAAATATAGCCACTCGAGGACTGTCATGTTCTGTATTGGAACAACTTAGGAAAGTAGGTAAATGACCTTGTCGTGCAGCAACATACAAATATCTAGAAATCAATTAATTAATTTATATGTTTGCTACACAAGTGTAAGAACTTTTCTAACATCAATTAAATCACGATGTTTATGCAGTACTACAACTTTTCTTCATTTTTAGCCGAAATTATGTGCAAACTGTTATGATAAGTGCTTTTTTTTTTTCAGATATAACTATGATTAAAGGTTAGGAATAAAAGAAGTATTTACATGTGACAAACCTGCTAGCGCAAAAAAGTGAAGTATTCATGGAGCCGATCAATAAAATGCATATCAGAAAGGGTATTACAGAATAGAATTTGTCTAGTTTTGCTGCCGCAAATGTCTAAAACACAATTTTGAAATCTATTAGTTCTCAGAAATCTGATCTTAGTCTAGGAATACATTATTCAGAAAGATCACATCGCAAATGTTTCACAAAAAAATCGGTTCCAAAGAAGATAAATTTGCCTAATTCCATCAAAAAAAACTAAATTAGGAACTTGTAACAATTGATGTGTAGCTTTCCCTCCCAACTGTTAAGTAATAATGACTAATAATATTAATAATTAGATAAAAAAGTTAACATCAGCCACAGCAACAGATGATTTCATTTGATTTATATCAAGTATCGCGAAAAACAAGGAAAATGAATGCTACTAATGACATTCCAACTATAATCGCCAAAGGCATTGCTCTGGAAACAGTGTATTTCCTATCACAGTTGACAATAAATTTATTTTGAATGATATGAAATGAAATTATGAAGATAACTTATTTCTTATACAGCATAGGAAGAAAACATATACTAATTAAAAGTTGAAGTGCATTAATGTTACACATTTATTATCCTACTTTGCTGATGAAAATAATTGTACAGATTTATGCATTGGAATATTCATCCTATATTTCCTACTACTTCAGTACTCTAAAAAAATGTACCTTTTCGGTTTTTCAATTTCTTCGGTGCCAAAATTCAAAATATCCCAACCATCGTAGGAAAATAAACCAGCAAACAAAGCTGCTATTATATGACCAGGCCTAACTTGCGTTCCATCCATCATATTTTGCAAGTTTTGAGTTTCATCTAAAGAATAATAGAGTAGCAAAATTAGTCATCAATTCTTTATAAATTTAAAAATTATGTTATTATTCAATTCCTAAACGCATTTCTCGATGTTTTCTTAATACTGAATTATCTTAGATCGCTCAGCTTTCACGTAATTAGTATACCTTTAAAAATGATAAAGTAAAACCCAGTGCAAATTACAATAGCTGTTGTAATTATTTTTGCAAATGATGCAACAATTTGAAAACGTGAAACAAATATTTTCAAAGAGAAAAAATTGAGCATCATCAAAAGCCCTGAAATAAAATTAAAAAAGACAAATATACTGATTAATACATTTTAACTTCAAAAAAAAAAAAAAGAAAAAAGTCTTAAGAGTAGCTCGTAAATGACGTATTTTCTGTTCAGAAAAGTTCAAATAGATAAAATAATATAACTTACACAGTAATGAAAAACCAATAAGTTTTTTTAAGTAAAATTTTTTGATATCATCGAATATTTGTATACGAAAACATTTGATCAAATATTCACTAAATATCTCAGCTTGAATTGCAAGTGTTACTGGAAAAATGACAAAACAACCAACACACATAAATGCAAATGCTATCGGATACCTACAAATGATAATGATTATCATATCAGTTGATAATTATTATTGCTATGAATTATTTAAATAAAACTATATTTTATGAATTGCACAATTTTTTTTTTTTTTACTCACTCACCACTTTACATAGCAAAGATAAGCAAAATCAGCTCCTGATCTACGTATGCTAGTACCTAATTCCACATAACAAAATGCTCCAAGCAATGATATCAATGCGGTAACAGATCAAATAATTAGTGATAAGCCCACCTAAATTTTAGTTCAATTTTTTACATAGTCAATAACATACCATCATGAATAATTTGATTAATAACTGTTTTTTTTTAAAAAAAAAAAAGAAAAAGACGAATTTACCGAATTAACTTGCTGTAGCACCGATGTAGGTATAATGAAAAGACCAGCACCAACAATATTACCGATAATATAGCTAATTGCACCACATAAACCCATTTTACTTGAATTTGTAATATTTGAATTCTTTCCTATCATTTGGATTACTTTTTTTTTTCTCCATTTATTATACAGAATATCAGTTTTAGCTATGATAATATTGCTAAAAATGCTTTTAAATGCCAATCTTATAGCTACTTGAATAAATTATGTGTCAAAATTTCATCAGAAAGTGATTATTCAAAGGATTTTTTTTTTAATTTTTTATTTAAGATAAAAAATTATATTAAGTCATTTTTTTTTACTCTGATTTCTTTTTTCTCAACCTTTCTTAAAATAATAATTGAAATTATATCATAACAGACTACCTGCAAAGATATGATAAGAAATTGAATTAGTTTAGTTTCATTTTTCATTTTCATTTATTGCTAAATGTGTTCTATGAAAACAAAAAAAAAAAAAATTTGTTTCCGAAAATGACAATAAAAACTAAAAATTTGAAGAGAGAAGTTAGCTTTGCGTTGCGTTGAAGTCAAATTATTATTTGTATAAGGTTTTATCACCTCTGATTACTCCAATAATTTTAAAATTGGCCTTCAAATTGATAAAAAAATAATCTCATTAGTGACATAATTGTTATCAAAAGTTTTTAATTGTTCAATGATCAGAAGCAAATAAAGTTTTTTCTGCTTTTTGTTATGATTGATTGTTATGAATTAGGTGGCATTTGCAACGAAATAAGTTGAAAGAGGGGAGGGTATAGCTGTGATATTTCAATGTGACAAAATATGTGATAGTTTCCGGTTTAGCATATGATATTAGCAGTGACCTCTTCATGAACTTTCCTGAGCTATGAGAGGTTCATTCATTCACTTATGACACATCTGACATCATCATTGCTAAATTACTTAATAATCTTACAAACTGCAATGATCAATGTATTTTTCATTGAGTAAACTCACACTATTTTGTGAACTCACACACTTTGACGTAAAAACGTGTACTGCGTGTACTTTCGGTTATTATAGGGAGTAGGATTCCTTATTATATTGATATGACAATCAGTTGAAATTCCGACACTGATAATGCCCCCAACAACATTTTATTTATAGCTTTAGCAAGAAATGTTAGACTGTTTTATTTTGGATTTACCTTACTTTGAGATTTTCCTGTGCTAATATCTCTAATATTTTAAGTCAAGGTTACATTTTGAGATGTTTTTACTGATATCCTAATTTTGAAATGAATAAATGATTCCTCGAATTCTTGAACCAATCAAAAAAGAAATCATCGAAGCAGCATCCTTAATTTTTTAAAAATTATTTTAATGAGGAAAGGTCAAAAGTTGTCACGTGGCCGGATTAGCTCAGTGGTTAGAGCGTCTGTCTTGTAAACAGAAGGTCGCAGGTCCGATTCCTGCATTCGGCATACGCTTGTTACGTTGTACTGTTCATTACCATTATGTATAGTGAACAACAGGTGCAATTTTAGCCCACGTTTTCGTGCGAGCTATTCTCTCTGTTGCCCTTTGCTGCTAACATACCAGTCACGTGCGATCACGCATACATTACGAACACGTGTTCTTCAACGCCACCTTTTCATTTCGGTGTCTCTAGCCCACGATCATCCAAGTGCAGAAACGTAAAACACATACAATAAACGTGATATTTGAGTATCTATCGAAATGTTTTGACTTAATTTCTTCTGAAAACTGCATTATGACTCTAGAATATTTGATAACCTTTCGTGCTCATTCCTCACTTAACCACCGGATCGTACGTATCTAATGGTAGTTTAACGTTAATTCCTGAATTTAAATTTAAGAGATGAGTTCTTGTGATAATACTTTACAAACAACTTTTAATGAATATTTGATTATCACAGAATCGTATATAAAAAGAAACGATCAAAAGGAAATGAACTGAATTGAATGGTAGTGTGTGCACTTCTGTACAAGAATTGTTTCAATCCAAAAAGTGGAAATTGCTGGACATAGAGATGGCCGTGAATTATAACAAACAGACAATGAACTACGTTCTCTCATTGTGTAGCTTTTCTCTTTAGCATTCATTCATTCATAGATTTGTGGGAAACGATAATCTGTTCTGCTCTTATTCTCAGTTAACAATGTTCGATTGTCTCATTCGTTCTAAAATATTTTGCTAGCTTAAATCCATTGTATAATTATTAAGTTTATATTATCATTCATATGTAATATCTCTTATCATTCAATGATATAATATTTTACTCTCACCTTTTTTCTAAAAAAAAATTGAACTTTCCCAATCAAAATTTATCTTTTGCAACAAGTATGATACTATCGTTCTTTCTGGTGCATATCTAGATTAACGTTTGTTTAATTTGTTATGATTTCGTGCTGTAAAAAAGGGAAAAATCTTTTAAAATTTATATAAACTGTAAATTTTAATCTCAAATTAATTTAAAAAATTTTTTTTTTAAATTCATGTAACTGTAAATTTTAATCTCTAATTATCACTGTTTAACTAATTTCTTTCGCGAAATTTTGCTTTATTATGTTTAGTTAAAAAGAGTATTGCTGATTGAGAAAGCAAAAAGCATCCGTATGGGAAGTAATTAATGGAAATATGAAACGTTTGGTTAATACTTAAAGGCTGTGTTTTGTTGATTCTGTTTGTATGTCTACTGCTTCATCTTATTGTTTGTTGTAAGAGAAAACAAGGACGTTTCAGTGCTTATGTCATTGTTATCTACAGCTCTCGCAGATAGCGTAAAGGTTCTAACTGAATAAAAAAATCAATTGTTCAATTATCTCTTTACACCGTCAATATCGTCTTTTTATTATTATTCATAAACCGTTTCATTCAGTTAGAACCTTTATTATTTATCGAATAAACACATTTGTTTGTTTGTTTGTTTGTTTTTTCAGAATGTATAAAACGAATGGCGACAAGTGGATTACACGTAGTGATCGTGACATAGTGCCAGTTTCGACAGTGCAAGGATATGTTCAGAAAGGATTCTTCTATAAATGTCTTCTTAGTAAGTTATTGATTTTGTTTTATGGATTAGATTGGTCACTGAAACTGAAAGGTATTGGGAGCTTAACGTTGTAATAATATTACGCTTACTAGTAATTTATCGCCTACAAACATAATTTATTATAATTGTCTGAGTTCAATAATGGAAATGCTTAATTACTTTTGCATTTTTATTTAAAGACAAAGTTTTGGATGTCATAATGTTTTATTTGAAGAAGATATATCAGAGGATGTGGATGACTTCGGTTTACTTCATAAACCTACTCGGATGGCGTTAGCTACACGGATCCAGATGTCTAATTTACCACCTTTGCTATTACCAGTAGTTGCTGAAGAATATGTTCGAGCTCGTATCTCATATGTTGCTGGTTGATTTTTATAATTGACCAATTATTTTTAGTCATTTTGAGTTGATCGATTGCTTAAATATTGATTCTTCATTTTAGATTCCAATAGACTATTTGTGCAGCTGGAGAATAATGCACGAACAATAATAAGAATAAATGAAGCAGTTAGAAATCTTGCAAAACAAAAACACAAGCCGTTGTGCAATCCAGAATGTGGTACCGTTATAGGAGCACTGTAAATCTTTTTGTTTTGCATAAAAAATGAGTTTCTCAAATATTTCATATCATGAGAATAGTTTTTGCTTTTAACATGTTCTCCATATATCTTCTTAATGATATAAATCAGAAGAGATATTTCCAGATATTCACCCGATCGTTTCTACTATCGAGCCTCTGTTTGCTCTAAAACAGGCATTGATTCTGTGCTTGTAAGTTTTTCGTTGTCTCTTTGTATCATATAACATTGAAAAAACAGTTATTGCATTTATTTGTTTCAAGTAATAATAGTATCATTATTGCGTACCAATACTTTGTAGGCTAATTTCAAATCCTTTCATTTCCATTTTTGAGGTTTTTTACATTGATTACGGGAATATGGCATCTATCGACATCAACGACGCTTTTGTATTGGAAGATGCATATTTATTATCAATTCCTCCACAGGCTGTACAACTGATCATCGAAGATGTAACGAGACCTCGACTTACTCCGGAACAGATCAAAAATTTGCTCACTGATCAGACTACTGATGCACAGATAAGTACGTCTTTTTCTTTTCAAAAACTCCAATCCATAAAATCTTATAGAACTCTAGAACATGACTGTAGAATAAAAAGTACTGATCCTAGCAAACATTATGTTATAGCTACTAAGATTATAAGTTGACAAATAGACCCTTAGTAGGTCGAACTAACATGAAAGCTGTTTAGTTTTATGAGAGTTTATGCTTATAAATTCAGTTGATTTTTATTTGAATATTTGTATAAAAGTGGAAAGATTGTGGAATTTACTCTTGCATTTTACAAAATTTTAATGTCTTCATTTCCAGCCTGAATTATAAAGTATTCCTTCTTAATCTTCCTGCTTATATCCCTACAATAAAACTTACCATTACCATAGTCTAAAGTGTTATTACCAACTCATCTTTTTAGATAGTGTAAGCGAGAATGGAGAATCATTTGTTGCAAAGTTGTTTGTGAAAGATGAGAAAAACAGAATTGTTAACCTCACGGAAGTAATACTCGGTGAAAGACCAGCGCCAACGCTGCCTATCCCAAAACGTCGGTTTTTTTATCAATTAATATTGTTTGTTTTTTTTTAGGTCTTTGTATCATTCATCTGGAAATAGTTTTTTGGCTGAATTGGTATTACTTAAGTCACACAGTTTAAATACAGAATTTTTGAATAAAGTTCATCGTCCCAGCGTTAAAAATTCTATTTTGTTATTTTCTGACGAATTGCTCTTTATTTTGACATTAGGGTGATTTTCTTCCACTTTTTCATTTTCGAATTTAAATTACAAAAAATTTATAGCGGTTACTACTGACAGTTTTTGGAGTGCTGAGAACGAGTCGGTGGAGTATACATGCCAAAGTAAGTCGTCATTCTTTGATTGAACTTAAATTTTCTCACAGTTACATGTGGATTTCCAAATTTTACTCATTAATAGGAATAATATTCAAGAATTATTCAAAAAAGATTCACGAAACAATTTTATTTATAATTTTGCTAATATTGGTAAGTTTTTGGAAGGCATAATTATTGAAAGTAATCATAACAGAAGATTTGAAGATAAAAACTGGAAGAGAGCTTACGAGAATAATTGTAAAGCAGGAAATTTTTCAAACAATTTTCGCAGTAACAGCGGCCCCAATTTTAACGACTACAGCGGTGAGAATGCTACTAGAACAGGTGATAGAAGTAAGTTCATCATAGTCACATTAATTGTGGATTAATTGCAGCGAATTATGTTATGTTATGCTTTATGAAATTTTTTGTATTTTTTGGGGATTTATTGGTATCTTTGCAGCATATCGTAATTACGGAGAAGCTGGTCAGTATTCGATTTATCGAAGTGGTTTTGTTAAAGATGAAAGAGATAATGAAAGATTCAGGCGTAGTAGTAATTATACTGGATCTTCTCGTTCCAGCAATAGCAGAACTAAAGGGCGTAATGGTGATACTAGCTTTCGTTCAGGACTTGCTGAATCGATAGGTAAGGTTGCTTTTTAGTAAACTAATATTACAAGTTTAAAATTTTTAACTCTGGATAGATAAGACACTAAAATCTTCGTATAACTTTTAGCAAAACTTACAGGGAGCCGTCATATATCAGAAAGAAGAAATCATTCGCCTCGTCCTTTTTTGGACCGTAATATTAATGTTTGTTGTTCCATATATTTTTTCCTACCATATCAGCTTATGTCATATTTTTCGAATTTTTATTTGTTAACAAAAAAAAAAAAAAAATCATTTGTAGATTGATGATACCTCTGCTGACGTAAGCGGTTGGAAGTCGGGTGATTGGGTAATGGCATCTGATACAAATGTGGCAAAAAGTGAACTGGAGTGCTTTTTAAATGGTGATTTCAAAAAAAAGGTCCATACAAAGAAAAATATGCAGAACTGGTCTGTGAATGAAGGTGCATGGGAAGTAAATAATGTTAGTTGCAAACTTGTCAATAATGGGGATCAAATCGAAATATCAAAAAATGCTACGGTCAATTCAGGACACGATGTTTTTATCGATGCTGGTAACTGCAGAAGTGCAGATTCTGTGAGATACATATACATACGTTCTTTAGTTTTTCTCCTTTTATTTTTTTTTTTTTTATTGTGCATAGAATCTGGGATTTACATGCATTCTTTAATATTTTTAGGTGTGATTAGGCTATAAGGTTTTTTTATTTTTCAAGGTTATTTTTACCTTTACACGTCTTATGTTTCCTTACGACGTTTCTTTATGAAGCGAAGTAGCAAGAAAGTGAGAAGCAGATATTGTTTTATAAGTCTGGCAAATGGAGTTAAGCTGTGTAAGAAGATAGGAAGCCGAGTGACCGACCATCAGCGAAGAATTAAGTGAGATAGAATGATATTATAGAAGAGTTCAACTGATATATTTGCTGTATCAGCTTAAGGATGAGTACCATCCTAGTGAACCAAAGAGTTCAGAGGGTCTTGATGAACACACTTTACAGCGGTTCTTCATGTAAATCTCAAAGTTTAATAGTCGCTATGAAAATTAGAAGTGAATCATTAATGCTTTTTCATCTTTTTTTCTGTTCTAATAATTTCTAATTCAATGTACTGGTCTCAGGTATTTGAGATCCCAATTAATTAATGATTTCAGTATACCGAATCGGCTGAATCTTCTGAAATTTTGCCGACAAATGCATCTGAGGTTGCAGTGTCATTTGATTTGAAAGTTGGTGCTGAAGAAGCCGATGGTGCTAAAACTATAGCTAATAAAGATCTTTCAAACAATAAGGTAATTCAATTCAAATTACTGTTAAAGCATTGCAACCACTTCTGCACATTGTTTTTCAATTTGAGAGGACGTTCATTTTGGTTTAGATATATGTTTGGTCTGTTTTTTTTACGTTGGAAACGATTTTTTTCCATGGATTATGATAAGTTAGCTAAGATTTAATGGATCATTTTTCCTACTTTTCTATAATTTCATTATGGTTAATATTATTGTTAATCTCCTTTTTGCACTGTTCATTTTTTTTTTCCTTCGTTTTTGTCTTTACCCAATTTTTTAGTTAGAACAAAGATAAAGAGACTAACAGTAATAGGTGTGCTATCGGATAGAAAATTGAGGGACTTGGAACTAAAACAGCGTGTGTTGCTGAAATTTTAAGAAAAAATTTTTCGCATTCAAAATTCTAAACTTTTTAGAGATTAATGGAGATCTTTATTCCTTGACGTAGACTATGAAATGTGGATCTTCTCATTCTTTAATAGTCTCTTTGTTTATACCTTAACGGGAAGATACAGCATGAGAGGTAACATCATAAATTTTAGTAGCAGTGGTGCTAAATTCTTATTTTTTGTTTGTTATTTGGTCCATGAGAAAGATTATAATGCTTATGTTATCTTTAGGAAAACCTTCTTCACTTTGAGTGATTCATCTTCCTACTTAATAGTTCTTATCTATTTTTCTCATGATTGACTCACTCTTTATAATTGTTTTTCCCGTAACTCAATAATATGCCTGAAGATTTTTAACTGGCAAAGTAAACAACGGGTACATGCTTTCATTATCGTTATTTTTTTTGTTTTTTTTTTTTTTCAAATCTGTTGAAAAAATCCTATTTAGAAAGAGTTGTCATCAGTTGTACTCAATCGTATCGAACCATCAAACCTTGGTGAAATTAAATTCGGTGATACCGTTGATGGTCTTCTCTCAGATAACTTGGTGAGATTTTGTATATTTTCATGAGTTATAGGTTTTTCGAATTTTTATGAATTCATTGTGTGCATATCACTTATTCTGTTTTTTTTTTTTTAATTTTTTAAATCTGTATCTGGTTTTTTATTTCAAAGCAGAAGGAGTAAGTAGCTTGACCCAAACTCAAGAAAACTCACAATTATAATTACCGTGGCTCATTATTTTTTTTACTAGTTTTCAATTTTAATCAAAGTTTTGGTAGGAAATTTTACGACACTCTTCTTTACTTATGTGTGTGTTTAGGAGGAACCTGACCCATTATCATTTTTTGTGCAGTTGAACCGTGACAAGAATAACATTGAGCATTTGATGTTGTCGGATACACAACTGCCAGTCAATCTTCCAAATCTATCTTCTTTCGAAATTTCTCAAGCTTGTGTTGCCCTCTTCATGGGAGATTATTATCGAGCAGAGATCATTGGCGAAGAAAATAATAAGTATATTTTCAAGTCTTTATATGAAGTTGATAAGAAATCCAAATATGCATAAAAAATTAGAATTATAAGTAACTAGTTTGTTCCTTTGCTTAACGAAAGTATTTGTAAATACAAAGCAATAGTTAAGATCAATCATTTCATTTTTTTTTCATTTTTTTCTGTCTGAAGAAAAACATTTGTAACACTTACATACTTCACAACATGCTGAGGCGTTGAATGTGATTTAGCCCTTCTGTATATGTAATTTTTTTTTCTGTAAATTCAGCATATGTTTTTGAATCGCTAATGAAATTTAGTATATGTTTTTTATAAGCTTACTGTGGAATTTCGAAGCAATCTTTTTTTCATCAAGCAGTTTTACTTTTTTCCTTTTACTCATTTAATAAGCTGTAAACAAATAGATAAAAAATATTTATTTTAAAGGAAAAAAATCCTGTTCGTTGATTATGGTAACGTGGAATATATGGATGCATCTATGCTTTATGTTATTAATAATTCCCTTCCCCAGGAGTTCTACACGTCAAGAAGAATGGCATTCCATTGCCGGTTGCATGGTGTTATGCCTGTAGCTTATAAAGTCAGTTTGTTCATTTATTGAAATAGTCATGTTTTCCAGGAATTTAGTGCTGAAAGTTTAGTAGTAATTGTGAGATTACACTTTTGTTTTCAAATGTGTCACAGTCTGAGGAGAACCAGTACTATAATTGCAACTGTTTCATAATTCGTTTATTCAAATAACTCGAAATTACGAAGTTACACTTTTTAACATTATTTTAATAAATGATTTCGGTTTTCAAATATTGTAGAAAAAATCCATTCTTCCACACCGAAAATGTTCTTGCAATTCGGAATTATTAGATGAAACTTTAAGTAATTGGAAAAAGTGCTCTTTATTATCTGAAAAAATTACTGATTGACTGAAATGATGAACGAATTTGAACGACTTTGCAAAAATAGTTCTTATGTGGTCTGATTGTCGAGAGAGTTACTACTTATCAGCAGCTTTATGGATTGGCATCTCACCTGGATGAAATGAAAATAATTTTATGGCTAACATTATGAGAATCTCCAATAAAACTGACAATTATACGAAGTGAGATGGCAGGATGTCGAGAAACGAAAGCGAAATTTGAACGATTTTGTAAAAATAGTTCTTATGTGAGGTGATTCTCGAGAGAGTTACTACTTACAGTTTTCTTTCCTTTGGAAATTTTATAATATATATAAATCTAATTTGCTTTTTTTTAAGCACACATTCGACTCAGACGCTCGGAGATTATTCTCGGAATTAATCGCTGATCAGAAGCTACTCATTTGTTTCTTACAGCAGTCAGTCAAAGGTATTTATGAAGTAACGATTATGCTCAGTAATGGACGCATCGTTTCCGATATCCTGATCTCAAGGTGCATATTTGAAATGAAATTCTTTGAATTTCTATAAGTTATTGGCATTTCAAGTTGTTACTGAATGTGTTTTTAATATTTCCAGAGGTTTCGCAGTTCCATTCAAATGGGGCATTGGACCATCGTTTCCACTTTATGAAACATTGCACATTCTTCGATCCGACGAACTTGATCATGTTCATCCTGTATTTACTGTTCAGTTATCAGATAGCCTTCCACAGCTTGAGCGGGTGAGTTAAAACTTATGTGAATGTTTAGGAAATTTAAAGTTATCTTACACGGTAAGATTCTATATTATGATTTCGAATTTCTTAATTATATAGGAGGGGAAAACACCTTTTTTTCGGATTTTTTGTTTTTCACTAAGCAATTGCAAAGAAATAATTTCGTGATCGATTTTTTTAGAAACGGATTCTGGAAACGGTACGGTTAGCACATAGATAATACGAACTAGTTCACATCAGTAGATTTTTCAGCCATCATTGTGCAGTTCGTATAGTTAAGAAAAAAAAACCAAATAGTGCTGCTGAATTGCAACATCTCGTGTGAAAAAATGAAATAAGTTTTTAATGGTTTCTTCTCGAATTTTCAGTTAAACAACGAATATGTGGATAGCAAAAAAATAATGGAAGCACCACAAATTGGTGATGTTGTTATTTCATACTTCGAAGAATCACCGTATCGAGCAGAAATCATTGCCATTGAAATTGACAATGGTAATACAGTATATCGTGTGCGTTATGTTGATTATGGGAATGAAAGCATATGCAGTAAAGAAGAATTATTCGAGTTGGATAGGGATCAGCAACCTGATGTAAATTTGTTTATTTCATTAAATTTTCTTTCTCTGTCTATATACGTATAAGTGTATATACGTATATCTGATATACGTATAAGTGAAATTCGAATTACAGTAAACACTGCTTTATTAATCGAAATATGAGCGAACAATATATATAAGAATAATATTGTTCAACCACATTTATTTGATGTATTTAATATGAAATAGAGGATTGGATTCGTAAAAAACTGTATTTAATTTTATACCTGTCTAATATTCTTACAGAACACTTTTATTTTGTAGTTTTGATTACTTTGAATTTTGAGATTAGTGTTATAAATCATTAGATAGTAAACGTTTTACGTGATTTTTGAATTTATTTACTATGTTCATGCAAATATTCATTTAATTCTTTTTTTATTTTTTAGGAAATAATTTATACTCCTCGACAAGGTTTCCGATGCCTAATTGATGGTGTACGACCTTTAAGTTGTAAGGCAGAGTGGTCTGAAGAAGTACAGAAATGCATCGACAATTTGTTAGCTCCTTCCGCTTCATTTGAAGCTGTTGCTGGTAGTCCAAGTGTAGATGGAGTTTATCCTATTAGGGTTAGTTTCACCTAGAACAGAAGGTGCATTGGGACATATTTCAGTATATATCAGTCAATCTATCGTTTTTTAAAGAATCATGACTGGGAGACACATACAAGAAAATTTCAAAGGTTTTTGAAAACTAATAAAATAACCGATAATAACAGATCATGGTACTCAAAAATCAACTGAATGAAAAAAGTGACATCGGAAATGGTGAAACTGATAACGCAAATGATAAAGTTGAACTGGCAAGCTGGTTGATTTCAAAGGGTTATGCAGAAATGCAGAATATTTGGCGAGACTATCCAGTGAAGAATTTGTTATCCGATGGGGAACATGAATATGAAATGTTCATCACAGAAGTCGATGGACAGATCATTCGTGCACGGCCATATGTTTTTGTTGAACAATATAATAAAATGAAGAAGGCATGTTATAGAGATTATTGATTTGGTCTTTCCGTTCGTATGCTCTAGTTTTGTACAACCTTTTGAGTCTCATATTTAGCTTAATTTAATGTTAGTTAACTTATTTTACTAACCAATTGATATGTTACTTTCGGGATATTGCTCTTTCTGCAAACATATTCATTGTTTCTCAGTTTACCACTATTGTACATTACTAACACTTCATATTGCCAATATTTAAATGCCAAAATATACTTTGTTTTTGAAATTTAAAATAACTTAAGCTTCCAATCTTTTTAATTTAGGCACTTGCTAACATTGAAGCAGTTCCTCTTCTGACTAATGTAGCTACTGGTTTAATTTCTTTGAACAACGAAAATAAACGTGCAGTGTTGATCTCCTCAACGAATAATGAGACGTCGACGAAGTATTTATTGGTTGATGAAGGTATTTCTATTGAAAGAACATCCATACAATTTTCTGGCACTGATAAATTATGTGAGTTGCTTTTTTGAAGTCTTTGTCTTTGTTGTGCTAAATAGTTGTTAACTCCATTATTTCTACAGAGCTCGGACATTTTATTTTGATTCGGTGTCATGGTATTGTTCTTGAAGCTTTATATAGGGCTTGCTGGCTACTAGTGTATTTCGAAAATGCACTGAATAGAAGTTTTCAAAATTTAATGAAAAGCCTCTCTTTGAATATCATATGAAGTCGTTGGTAGAACACAGTTCCATACATGAGGAATTGGGTCCTATTACAGGTGATTCTGACGGATTTTTGGTACGAACATGCCATCGTTTGTCAGTGCAGCTTAGGCTCACTGACATTTTGCTTGATAAGAAATCCAGAGAAATGATAATGAGTAGTGCAGCAAGTGGACCAGCTAAAGTCATTCTTGTTGAGTACAGTGGTGTACGTTTTTACAACACATTTAATGACTGATATTGAGACGTTGTAAGTCACAATGCATTCCATATATTATTTGAAAATTTGGAGACAAGCGCTTTTCTTTTCAAATTTCAAAAATTATTGTTACTTCTATAATTTCTTAAATATTTCTATTATTTTCAGGATAATTGCTATCAAATAACTGATATTTTATTCTCTGATGGCACAACTTTATTAGAGAAACTCAAAGAAACAATTGTTGAAAAAGAATCACCAGATTTTGTTACTAGTAATTTTGAAGAAGCTGGGACAAGTTTAAATGAAGGTAGGAAGCGAATATTTACTGGTTATTGATTAGATAATTAAAAAAATTTATAAATAGCAGCAATTATATGCTGTAAGAGTAAGGTGTCAAATTATTCTCAAAATTTTGTGTAAATTATTAATATTAACCAATTAATTCGATTTAGACGCATTTTGTGACATCTCTGCTGATAGAATGAAGAAAAGGAAAACCATATTGCTTTTTTTTAAATTAAAAATCTGGAATTTTAGACAAAAAAGCAGCAGATTCGAGACTACTAATTAATGAAGCGGAGCGAATTGAATGCGGGGAAATTTTGATCGCTAATGAGAATCCTAATTGGACATCTGAGGTTTGACTTTTTGAGCATGAATTGATATAGGAATTCATTGATGCTAAATTACCTTAAAAGGTACAGTTCATAAAAATTGCGTCAGGTATTTCAAGATTTGAATAACATTACATATACTTTTCCTTTGCTGTTATATGCTTAAATTCAGCAGGTAATCACGACTGAGTAACAATAAACGAGGAAAAATGCTTTAAATTAGACATTTTACAAGATTTTTCCCATTCGAGTTGAGGTCAAAGAAGTAACAAAACTATGGGCTGATATATATACCTTTGGAAATTTTTTATCAAATTGAAAGGTGTGCATTGCAAGCAACAATTTTCCAGCCTTCGGAAATGTCAAATGGTATTTTCGACGGTATGCATGAAGAAGATAGAACAATCGAACCTGAAATTATTTCTTTTCTAAATTCACTGTTAGCACGGTTTTAAGAGACATTGAATGATATAAATTTGTTAACACTTTATCAACAGTTTTAATATTGGTTTGAATTATGATTACTTTAATTCTATCAATTTTCTTACAATAAACGAAAAATATACATTAAGCTGGAAATTTTACAGAATTTTATCCATTCAATGTTTGTATTATTTCTTAGTGAAAAAGCTGTCACTTGTTAATCGATGTGCATATTTCGCGTCTTGTATTTATGATATAAAATTACTTTTAACATTCTCAACTGTGTACATTCTCAACAATAATTTCTTTGTTAGCATTTATGGTGTTTAATTTTTTTTGCAACTGTTCCATACCAAATACTGTATTAATTCTGTGGATGTATATAATCACTGTTCCAGCCTTTCCTACAGAAAAATTCCTTCAAATATATTATCATTATTTGTAGTTAAGCAAAAGTACTCATTATTAATCAAAAAAAGTGAAAAAAAAAAAGATTCTGTTATTAGGATTCTGTTTAAGTATTTTATTTGAATCTTAAATGATGAGTAAAATATATCCTTCGCTCTTTTTTTGACATTACAATTTAATGTTTTACTGCAATAAAATTACATGTACTTTAGCACATTGCATACTTTGACATTTCATTTCCGTTGCAAATCTTGAATCATTCTAATAGAAAAGTATAATTCATTTGCTTATACAAGTTATTGTTGTTGTTTCGAGTCATTTTCTCGATGGAATGGACCAGTTGATGTTTCTTCAGAATTTTTCGTATGTAGAAAAATTCAATTATTAAAAATTGTGTTTCCCAGGATTTTATATTTTCAGAAATACTTCATTTTGTCAGTATTAAGCATTAAACCTAGTCATGACAAATGAAATAATTCATAAAGTTAAAGAGTTACTTCATTGGTTAGTCTGCTTTTCGGGAGATAATAGAGTAGAAGGACTCGAGTAAACATTTTTAAAATTCCACTTATTTTTGTTTACTGTTGATCAAACGACTCATCATCCTGAGATGTGTATAACCCATCTGTAATTTTGAAAATAAAACTCTAAAACTGAAGATATCAAATTTTTGATGAAATGATTACAACAACAATTAGTCACTTGCAATGCGACCTTCATTAGTGTATAAAATTAAGAAACCGTTCAAATTAATGTCATTTCATTATTTTTGCTTTCAATTGAACAGTTTCTATTTCCAATGTGTCTTCCGGAACTTGGTGAAGATGACAGGTGAATTAGGATGACAAATTTGATTACATTTTTTTTAGCTTTTGACCTTTAATTCTACTTGTGTCAGAGAAGTTGAAGTTGAAAAATCAAATATATCTGTCTGTCAGTGAATGGAATAAACTATTCAAATCAAGCATATATTATATCAAATGAATTCATTAATAAAATGTTTAAATTTGAAATGATCAATAAATTTTGTTCAATTTTAATTTTAAGGAAAAAAATTCCAGCGATGAATATGATGTTTGCTGTGGTGCATTACATTCATATGTGGCAAGTGTATTTTTTTGTATCATCGATTTCTGGTCAACGTGTTCAATGTTCTTCCTCATTACTTTTTTTCATTATCATGATGTAAAATTTTTTGAAATTTCATGAAAAACAAAAAATTTATTTTTTCACGCAAATGAAATAAACTTTTTTTTTAAATTGAAAAAAAAAAATTTATTCTACACAAGTGTTTCTCTAACTTTTGTTTCTTTTCTCAAATTTAAAAAAGTGCATAAAAATTTTTTGTCAATAGAAGAGTTAAATGTAGTTCAGGAGGTCACTGAAAGAAAAAAATTGATTGTAAGGTATATGATTTGGTCATCGAAGAGAAATTTAAAGTAAAATTAAAATTGAAATTTCTATAAAGACTATACTGGATATAATAAAAAATATATATATGTAATAATTCGTTGTTTTTTTGTGCTCCCTTCTGTAATTTTAAATTTCAAAGTTAAAAAACCAGGAACACTCCTTTTTGTATCGTGAAATGTTCTAAAAATTTCCTTAAGTATTAAAGATGTAAATGCCAACCCGAAGTTATAGTATTCCTTATGTTCTTCAGTTTTGTTTTTTGTGGATAAAGGAATTGCAATTTCAATTTTGTAAAAGATTCTTTTGAAAAATCTAAGATTTCTAATTTTCTTGATTTTTTTTTCTTAAATTTACAAATTTTATCGCTTCCCGTACTTTTTAAGTTCATTTTTTGCATTTAAATCATTGATAATCTATTTCTTGTTTTTTTATAATTTTCATTAACATTTTAAGTGCATATTTGAAATTGTCGTAAGTTTTTGAAATATGATATTTGCAACTAAAATTACAACTTTGATAGCAACATTCAATAAATATTTTCAGGATCCATTAACATGGCAAGTTGTGGTACCACTATTCGTCCTTTATATTTCTTTCGTATCATATCTTTCAGGACCTGTTGGACTATATATTGGTGTAAGTTTTCTATTTTTTTTTTTTTTTTCAAATAAGAGAATAAAGGATGAAAAAGAACAAATGTAATTTAGAGAAAGAAAACAAAAATAGAAAATCCATTTTGAATTTATAAATTTGAAGTTTGATTTGAAATTTTTGAATTGAATTTTCAGCTAAGTTTTTTTCATCGTTTGATTACTAAGTTCTTTTCAATTTCTTATGAATTTAGCGCAAGTTATCAAAGCAAATGGTAAGAGGATATAATAATAGTAATATATTATAATGTAAATCTTCTAAAACTTTCAGCATCGGCTTCTTATAGCATTATATTATTACCGAATTGCTGTTATGTTCCTTTTTGCCTTAATATGGATGGTCATCAATTCCGGTGAGCGCAAAACTATCATAGGTTAGTTATCAGGATTCTCATGATTATGATATTCAGTACGGGAAATTCATTGATATATGCAAAACCCTTCGAGAATGATACTTATAATTCAATGACCAAATCGTTCTGATTAATTCATTTCTTAGTCAAAGATATTGATTCTTTAGATTAGTTGTATTGCACATTTCATAGACCTTAAAAGAAATTTCGATCTTCCAAATTTAACTTCCTAAATTTCCATTTATTTTGGTTATATATAAACAAAATTAGGCTAAACTTCTATTGTTATCATATCATTCAAATCTACTAAAGAGCTAAGACTGTCTGAACAGCAAATTAGAATTAGTTTTCGCATACTGTTTCCAAAGTTCATAATTTAATTTCAATTGCAGACATTGTCCTTACAGTACTGTGGTTTTTGACAGCGTTTACTTATTTTTTTGGATGGTATGTTCATAGAAGGACACATAAGTTTTTCAGTACTCGGTTAGCTCTTACTTTTGATGCTATCTAAGGCTAGTTATCAACTAACAATATACACAAAAAAAAAAAGATCCCCATATCATATACTGCCCAGTATTTGGGGAATTTCCGTTCTTTCAATGAAAGCATGAAAATATGAAGAAATGTTACTTTAAATATCTATCATTTAGGAAATTAAACCATTTAGTTACCATTAATTGCTATAGGAAAGAAATAACACAAATTTCATTTTTTGCTAGATGTGTAGAAGAATTGCTTATCTCTATAATATATGTAAAATACTCTTTCGAAAAAAAAAAAAAAATTCTTTCTAGCAAATCCAGTCCGCTTAATAAATTGCAATAGTAGCACCAATGGTTTTGCAGATGGGTAGGATATGATGACGGTGATTTGGCATTTGCTGCCAAATTACGAGCACGAGGTTTGCCCGTTATAACTTATAATATAAGCGAGTATTTTGCTTCCATCAATCTGGAAAGGCAGCATAAACAAGAGTTCGCAGCTGCAAAACAGGAATCAGCAACAAAAAAAGATTAGGTATCTAAAATGAATAATAATTACATGACAGAAGATTTACCGATATGAGGAAGAAGTGATCTGATAATAAAGCCATGTATATATATCAAATAATGTATTTCTTTTCCTTGTTCTCTCTTAAAACTCTTTGTACTGTTTTGAATTTAAAAATTACATAAAGTTCTGTGTAAAGTTCCCGAAGGAAAGAATTCTATCTAGTACAAATAATGTTTATGCAAATAAGCTAAAAGTTCAATATAGCAAAAACTCCATCCAGTGAAGAAGAATAGAAAGTAACCATCTACAATTACAGTGAATTTTTATTTTAAGTAAATTAGTGTATTCGACAAATTAGAATAGATGAGATCACCAATAGCAGCAAAACTTCAGCACAGAGAGAAAATCAAAATGAAGTAGAGCCATGTATTTGGAAATCACAGAAAAAAGTAAGATAATGACAGCACAATCATATAAGCTATAGTGGGGAAGAGACAAAAGACAAAGTGGGGAAAAAAAAGAGGAAATTCGACCTTTGCAAATCCATGGTCGAAACGGTTGTTAGTGTTTCAAAAAGTTTTGCTAAAAAAAAAAAGCAAGATTTCCCTTTTCTCAAAATAACACTGTCCAATCAACTTCAAGAACTAAAAAACAAACCCGAGCAACATAATGTAAATAAAACAATATGAAACAGAGGCACAGACTGATAATACACAATGATTATAAAGATAGCACCACAATATGCGGAAAACATAGATCGATAATAACATTTAGCAAAGTTTTCAAAGTAACTTTCCTACGAGTTATGACTTAATATAAAAAATTTGAAAAAATTTTTTTGAAAAAAGTCTGAAAAAAATTATAATGCCTAAAAAATATCATTAATCAAGCAGCATATTAAGCACTGCGAGGAACAAAATATTTACATGAATGAATTTATGACCCTTTTGTCTTTTTTTTGATTCTTTGGAGATGTATTATCTTTGGATATGATATCATTCTTTACACGAATTAGATCATTAAAGGCCAATTTATATGCATCACTCCTTTTTAATACTAACTTTTTTACCTTAAATCCACAGTATGACTAAGTGAACAAATGTTGAAACTAAACCTAGAAGTGAAAGTTGTAAACTATGAATATTTCATGAGCAATAGTAGTAAGAACTTTAATTTAAAACAATATGAAGCACCTTCTCAAAGTGGTCCAACCTGACTGTATGGGTTAGTGACACCTCCGAAAGGTACTTTATATAAAACGGGATCATATCTTGAAACACTTGTAACTAGTGGATTATAACCAAAATATGAAATAAATAGGTTAATACAAGTAGAACGCTGGAGCAAACATTGAACATTCCTTGTCGACATATCACTATTAACACATTCTGAAAAACAAAAACATGCAGTACATTTTGGTTTTAACTTTGTTACTTGAACACTTTCAAATTCAAATAAAAATGCAGAAAACTGAAAGACGCACATCAGGAAAAAAAAAGATATTCACTATTAATGGAAGTTTCATTCAGACCTTCACTGCATGTTGCTGCCCCTTAGGACATGAAAAATTTTTATCTGTATTTAAATATGCGACAAAGCACATATATGAAATAAGTAACCATTGTGATATCCAAGATGGATACTTACTTGGATAAACAAACTTTTTTCGCGGTGTAACTTTCAGTGGACTTTTTCCAGTTACACTACTAATTAAAAAATTCATCGCAATATCCTCACAGTTTCTATTCTTTTCCACATACTCGATTATTTCTGATGGTAATAATTCGTGATATAACATTCCATAGTACTGCAGAAAGAAATTACGATATTAAATATTAGTGAACAAAAATTGCCAGTTTTACAAATTCAATTGAATTTTTAAAACACGAATCAAATTTCAAATTTTGAATGAAACTCTACGAAAATTAATGGTATGCCAAAAAAAAACATTGCTTCTCTTTATCCCCAGAAAAAAAAAAGAGTTGAAAGTAAACAGGTTTCACTTAACCTTGTGATAAAATGCAGCACCCATCAAAATAATATTCATCGAATTAGCCCACTCCGTATGGTACTCATATAACCTGGTAGATTCATTGAAAACAGCAGCTCGCGGCAAAAATCCGACCAAACGATCCGGATTTTCTCGCCATGTCTGAGACAGTGATTATAAAACTACAGATATTTTCACGTTTAATTGGATGTCCAACGATGATAATGTCTTTGCATATAAATTCAATCAAAATAATTCTATGCTCTAGACTTACTTTATTAAAAAATTACTGCTGAAATTCCTGACTGCAGAAAATTTTTGTGTTCTGAAACTTCTGAATTGATATGATACCTGATAGCCAAATTCGATTTCATCAATGTTCATAGCAACTGTATCCTCGTCAAGCGAGAATATTGCATCTGTGGTTATTTCCGAAAACATAATAAATCGATTGGACAGCATATTTTTGTCCATATGGATAATATGAATGGGTTGATTTATATGCGGCCATTCGGTCACTATAGAATAAAAATCGTTTCTTATAATTCTATAACATAAAGAAAAAACAGTTCCATAACATAAAGAAAAAGGAACTTGTTGTAAAAGGACAGAAAATCACTTTTATTAACTGAGAATATATTAAATTCGTAAAATAAACATAATTGTTTGTTTGTTTGTTTGATTACTTCTGCTTCCTCATATATCGCATATTATTACAATCGTGATAATAATATTCATGAATATGCTAGATTTGAAATAGCCAAGAAGTTAATGGATAAAAAAGTTTCTTACTTGGAGGAGGCTCACCGGCATGATTCCACACAACGACAATGCTTCTCAAGCTGGCTACTTTAGCAAGCAATCGTATAATAACAAATAATGAATTCAGTTTATTGTATGTCAAGATAACACCCGTGAAGCCCTCAGCAGAAGTGTGGAAAGGATGGAAGAGCGATGGAACAAAACAATTCTGTAATCCAAATGTAAGACAAGTCAGCGAATCACGTAGAATTTTGATTTCAGAAATAGCAGAGTACAAAACATCTGATTAAAATGAAAGCATAATAGCTTTAAATGTGCAGATTGTAAAATTATTCTACCTTTGAAGAATTGCAATTCCAATCGTCGTATGTTGTAAATGAATTTGGAATAATACGTCTCTCCAAGATCTTTAAAGTCGTAAGGATTATTTTTTCAAGTGAAGAAAAATAACGACTATAAACGAAAGAAATTTGTTCTCTCATGCGCTGTTTTCGTTCCGATGATAAAACTCGCAAGAATGTGAGAACAGAAGACAAACGACTTCGAGGAAAGGTCAATGACAATCTGAAAGGACAGGACTAATTTGAATTAAAATACTTCAATTTTTACTTTAAGATCTGTATGCAATATCATAAAACAATATACAGTACAGCATATTTACAGCTAGAACAATGCGTTGGAATACTGGACATTATCTCGACAACTTTAGTAGAAATTCTTTTTGTATATTATCAGTTCCGAGTTTACGTGTAATTAGCAACTAACAAATCCCAATTGATCACTTCATTGAAGGGCAAAACAATAAAATCAGAGATAATAACAGGAATGGAGCCAACACGTAAAGCTGACATTAATAACAGCTCAGACCCAGCAACTCGATCATCAATCAGAGTGAACTGACTTTCCTGAAAGTTTTTCAAACTCTTATTTGAAATAAATATATTTGTATGATCTCGAAACCTTTAACGCTGAAAGTCCCGAAACGTCCTTTTCCTTATTTATTAATTTGTGCGACACCATTTCCCCTAATCTCTTCGGCGTTTTTATCCAAATAAAATGTAATTTTGTATTCCTATGTGGGAAATTGACTTATGAGTACAAATTTTTTCATTTACTACTGATTTTGAATAAAAGGTTTTTTTTTTTTTTTTGTTAACAGAAAATTCGAACCTTAACAATTGTTCCCAAATTATGAGCATCCCCACGACTGTCGCATAAGAAATTTCCATCTGTTACATCGCATTCGTCCAAGACAAGACAATCATTTTCGTTGAATAAATTTTTTAATAATACTTTAACATTGTGTGAAGCAAATTTTATCGGCACAACGATAAAATATGAAAATCTCTCCAAAGAGGATAAGAAAGATGATGGTGAAACATAGGGGTTCCATAAAGGCAGCGATAAATCAAAGCCACGTCGAAAAGTTTTACGACGAGATCCGGTCCTGTAAAGAGGTCTATCAGTTCATATACCCAAGATAATGCTTGAGAAGTACCCAGGTATCATTTATTTGCATACTCTGCCGTATATAACAGAGATTAGAGCATGTTTTCTTCTGAAAAGAATTAACCTTGCAATAATAGCATTAATATCAAGAAGACTGGCACCAGCAAATGCAAATATGAGCACATTGTGATTATTCAGGCGAGCACCTGCATTGAAATTTTTCGAAAAAGATGATTCATCGTCATTGAAACGATAAAGATTAAGAGTATCAAATCCAGGCACAACAAGGCAAGCATCTTCAATTGCATTAACTCTGTATCTGGATTGTTCAATCACTGAACGTATCTCGAGATACTCGCTTGAAGGTGACGGCGTTATATCTTTGCCATTCTGAAACATTACAGAACTTCAGACAAAACAGTTTATTCCAAATCGCTTTGCGGATTATCTCCGTGATACATCGTATTCCATTTCACTAGAATTCTATCATCCAGTAACAGTTTGTCTTTACGATTTCCTATTCTCTTCCAACATTTATCAAAAAATAATTCACCTCATCGATGACCCGTATGAATGGTTCAACAAAGACAGTTAGCTGACCGTCATGAAGTGAACATGACAATAAATTGAGACATGTATCTGTTGTACAGTTTTTGCCACTTTCTAATTTTGTTATATCATCTGAAGAAATCTGGTATTCCAAAATCTGTTGGTATCGTCTCTTATTGTTAAAATTCCACAATGCAAATCCAAGAAATAATGTAGCCAACAGCACAACAATTCTGCTGCAGCTGCATCGCATTCCTCATAAATATTCAAAACAAGGAAGATCAAACGCATACCCCCTTCGCCGAATCATTACCAAACCTGAAAAGCGGTCAGCTGTCAAAACCACCAAAACTCAAATGCAAAGGTTTGTAGTTACGCATGCAGCAGTTAAACCAATCCGTTTAATCTATCCATTATAATCGCGATTGTCCTAATCTACAGCATTTTTCACTATAGTTTGAAAATTTTCGAAATAATATTTGATAATTGTGATCCAACAAAATGTATCAAATCTCTGAGTACTGAGCAATTTATTAATACCACGCGTAAAGAAAAAAGAAAAAAAATCAAGACCAGAGAATAAAAAACCACGAAGCATAAACTATCAGTTATATATATATATAATTCAAAGAAACACTATATAAATTAAGTTATGAATGTAACAAATATTGAGGTCAAGTTAACAGCAGGAAAAGTGAATTTCCTGAACTAGTGAAGAACTGAACTTTGGCAGAACTAACATTCTATTAAAAATCTAAAGGAATTTTAAAGCACCTAGTAGAACCATTTCGAAATAGTAACGTCATCCTAACACTTAATACTGAACACATAGTAAATAATAAAATATAAGACCAATACATAACGTATACGGACATTCTGTAAAGAACAAAAGTCGATTTACAGAAATACAAAATTTCATTTAAAAAATTATATTCATAAGTATTCTTGTTTTAGATTTGCAAAACTAAATAAGATTTAAAAACAAGATAAATAAAAAGTCTAGAAGTTAATAAGATAATTCAAAAGTAAATAAGATTTTATAATTTAAAAAAGTTCCATTTTCAGGATTATTTCATATACCGATATTCCATCCCTTCGCACCGTACACGAAAAAATTTTTGTAATGAAACGTGAAATGAATAAAACTACATTAACATAATTTCGCTAGCATCTTGGTTATGATAAAAAAAAAATAAAAATAGCAGAGCTAAATAATAAACATATAGAATATGTTATAAATGTGGCACTTCTTTCAAAACTTTTTCTCGGAAATCACTGGCACATTTCGTCATATCCACCGCAAACGATGTACAATTTAGTAATTTGTTTTTGTTTTTCATAATGCATTCCATTAAATCCTGAAGAGTTGAAATGAACGATTTCAGTTCTATCATTTACCATTTAATGCGCACGAACAATAAAAACATTAAGAAAAGATCAGTAACTAAAAGTCAGTTCGGCATTAACTTTTAATAAATTCTAGACGAACTTTTTGATATGATTTTTTATCAAAACGTACGTGGAAAGAAAGTATCAAAACAAATGTTTGGGAAAAGGAAATGGAATATTCGCTAGCCATTACTACTTAAAATTAAATAATAACTTACATTTTCAAACGTTTTACAAACATTTTCCGGCTGGTAAGAGAAGTACTGTTTTTCAATCCGTTTCACTGTCTCATCAAATGCATCCTTTCGTGCTTGCAAATCAGTTACTGAGATTTTTCCTAAAAAATCAGTAGATTTCAAGTCTTCAGACACACCATAGGTTTCATTTTTTTACTAATAACATTCCTATTCATATATAAGAAACAAGTAATTTATCATTAATCACTCCCATCACATAGCACTGAAATACAGTTTACAATAAATTAAAAAATACCATTAATCACACTTAATGTGAAATATCTTAGGTTTAATTTGCAAGCAGTTTCCATCCGAACAAAGCTTAATCAAATGACGTTTGACTAAAAATAGAAAAATAAATAAATATAAACTAACCGGTTGCAGCTTTTTGCAATGCAAGCTTTGATTCTGAAAGATTTTTTATTTGTTCTCGCAGTTTGAGATTATCTTGGTGTTCCTCGGCCAACTGCCTCCTAAATTATTGCAATACAACATTTAAGTGTCTAAACAAATATGTAAATCAGAACTTTATAAACTTTTCAAACAAAATTTGAAAGTAAACACTACCTCAAGTCATTGACAATCCCACTTTCCGGATTTCCCAAATTTAGGATCTGATCAACAACATCATGTGATACCGCAACTGTCTTATATTCTTCCGGTATTTCACTTCGCTCGATTCTTATCACCTGAAAATGAGAGCTTTCACAGAAAATTAAGGCGAAATAATCAAATAACTCTTATCGCAGCTTAAATTAATTTATTATAGGTTAATTTAATAACAAGAGTTTTGAGTCTACAAAATATGAAACAGCAACAATGTATAGACACAAATTCTTACGAACAACCATTTTAGGATTAGAAAATAATTTTCAAGAAGTAAAAGAAAAAAACAAACGGTACCTTCGGAAGATCATCGGAACGGTTGCTTTCTTCATAGCTCTGAGATGATCCCATAGGACAATGGAAAGTGATACTGCAACATTAACATATTACAAATATATGATCAGATAAAGAATGAACTGAAACAAATTCTACGAAATCATCAGAATCAATGAATCCCATTCCCGATTTTACTAAATTTACCCAAGGCTACCCTCTTCAGATAATGCAGTCCCCCATTAAACACGCTGTGAAATTTAAAGTTTCAAATTTAATTTAAATGTTAGCGATTAAGGATATGATGATATTTGCTGTGGTATTTATGTAATATTGTTTAAGTGGTTATTTATTATAATAAGATTTTCATCTCTAAGTTACTAGAAGATATGATATGATGCATAAATGAGAGCGTTGTTCGAGCGTTTGTCACCTAGCGACCGGATCCTCTAGCCTGATTGTCTCATTGAAAATATTCTCGATTTCTCCTGCATTTCTTCTTTACTCTGTTAATTTTGCACTAAGTGATATTATACTGCTATGTAAATTTCATCCTTCAAATCTATCTGAGACCGTTACACGCTATATCTTATTTTAATTAAAAAGTTGAGAAAAAATTTTCAGTTTCCTATCGTTCATTCTTGGCTAAACTCTTATAATCTTAAGCTAAGCTATAACATTAATGGACTATGCTTCCCAAATTTCTAGTCGATTCGATATGAAATAAGCATAGATTTGAGCTTTTGCCATTGCATGCCATATTCATTCTTGAAACATCTATCAAATATTAGATTACGAGGATAGCTATTCCTTTCTAAATAGATTTCTATTTGAGTAGGATCAAAACGTATATCATATTCTGATCTTGCAGATCAATCAATAAAAACTTTACCCTGAAAGTTTCATTTATTTTAAATGTTCAAAAATTGTTAGCAAATCTTTTTTTTTTTTTTTTGATTTTAGAACAGTTTGTTTAATTTCCAGGATGAATCATTCAATACAGACCGTGTGTTGAAGAATATTCTTTATGCTGTTGTATCATATAGTATTATGTCTCGAGCTCAGCAAATTTTGGAAGGATTCAAGCTGTGCGTATTGTTGTCTTTTTTGATACTTTTTATGCACTTTTTTTTTGTGAAAGTACATGAAAAACATAGTAATATAAACAATTTAAGCTTGTAATTAACTTGATGGTTTAATAATTTATTTTAATTAAGCATCAATTGTTTGAACGAAGAATGCAAGACTTTACACTTTTATCGTAGTTATATAATATCGATGGTGATTAGGTGAACTGGCATATGAATTTGTAGGAATTGGATGAGTTTACGTGATGCGGAAAGTGGAAAAGTGTTATGGCAAAGTTATGAGGATCTCGCCTTGCCAGGAAAAGAACATCAAGGTTTGTTAATCATTGTTCTTTCAAATAGGTGATAGATTAAAGATACCATTATTAAGTTAGATGTTAGGAATTAGGAATAAATGCATAGTTGATTGTAAAATAATGGTTAATTAGCTTGAATTCCTACAAAGTTCTTCGGTAATAACAAATTGCAGCTCGTGTACCTAAAAGTATCTTGAAATGTCGGGCAGTGTCGCGTGAAATAAATTTCACTTCGGCCGAAAAAATAAATAAATTTCGATTAGAGCAACGTGTTTACCTGAAAGGCGATATTATTGAAGGTATTTTATTAATTTAGAAGGATGTTTTGAATTTATGAATAAAAAGTTCTGAATCCCTATGTTACTGGTTATTTTTATTATACGGACAGAAACTGTCCGTATAATAAAAGGTTAAGCACCATTTGGAGTTTTACTTACAGTCTGTTAATTTAAATCATTTCCAGAATTGAGTAAGTCTTCGCAGTTTATTCGTAATTTTTTTTCAAAATTTAAGTTATTTTAATCGAAATCACCTTACCTTGAAAAGAGTTATAGAATGGTTTTTTGATTTTGGATTTGTAATACCACAATCAACAAATACGTGGCAGAGTTTAATCGAAGCCGCACCAGAAGCACAGATGCTGCCTGCATCATTATTAAGGCAAGTTTACTGTTGTTGATTATATATTTTCATTTATTTCTTGAATTACATATTAAGTTAAAAAAATCCATGAGGATGTGGTTGTTCTTATTTTAATTATATTTTAAACAGTCAAAAATTAAATACCAAGTAAATTGCTGCTTATAACGGATGGTATACATCATTGCGTGCATACCATGCAATCTTTCTTTATGTTCCATTTTGTCCATTCTGTTGAATGTATAGTTAGACGAATACTAAAGAATGACATTGCTAACTTACTCCAAAACTGAACGGAAATTGACATTCTGTCATCGTTCTTTGAAATGTGACAGTTGTAGTGGCAATGTGGTAATCGAGACGAGCTTTTACGATGATAATTTGCTGGTAAGCACGTCACAGATTCGTATCTTCTATGTATGATGAAGAAAATGAAAAATGAGCCCATTTTACCTTCTCTTAAACTATTCCAGACTTTTTACGAGAATTATTGTGATATATTTTGTATTATGTGAAAAATATGGCCAATAATCTTGAAGCATATCACTATTATGTAATAAAAATGAATACTTCAGAAAATGAAGTTATACTATACGACTCTCGAGAAACTACAGAATTTTCTCGATCTTTTAAATCATTAATTCTAATACTTGCAGTTATAACGAAGTTTTGATGATTTTGTTCTTGAAATTCTAGTGAAATTTATTTCAAACCTGTTGATTTCTACGAGGAATCAATAAAATTAGGGAGAAGAGGTTCCAAATTGCAACCGAAGTATTAAAAAAAGTTTTAAATAGTAAGAATGATAGTTGGCTAATTTCTTCATTCATTCCCGTCTGTGAAACGATTTCTCAGTGCTCTCGATAGCATCACAGGATCTCGGTACTGTCAAATGCTTTAATCTAAGGTTGAGTATTGTCTATAACTTATACATCTAGTTGCAATTTAATGAATAACTATTAGGGTTAAGTGAACTGTTATAAGAATAAAATACTTAATCCAACCTTTTTACTCCTTGGAGGAAAGAATTAAGCCCACATGTTTTCCAACAGATTAAAAGTATTTTAAGTATTCCTGCTTCACTGTTGTTCGAATTGTTTACCTGTTGAAAAAGTTCTCAAAGAATGCAAATTTGTAAAGAATGAATTCAGGTGAAATGTCAACTTTCTTCATTCAGTTTCAACATATGTTCTAGAAAAGAACGAAAAAAAAGAGTGTTCAACAGATATCAGCATATGGTACTATGTTTTAGTGTAGAATTCCGTCTATGAAAATTCAGGGAAAGTAAATATTTTCATATTTATCGGATCATTTGACAAGAATGATTAAAATTTCTATTGTTTATGATTGGATACTTTGGAAATAAATTATAAGTTACTTGAATAAATTATTTTTAATTTTTCTTTCGATTTCGATAAATCAATTATGGGTAAGTTTGTTTTTGCAATATTCGATTACAAAGAGAAGAAAAGCAAGCATGCTATAGTGATTTTAAAATTAGCTGCTATTTATCATTTCCATTGGTTTAAATGGAAATTTATAGGAATTTGATCAATTAAAATAATGCAAACCTAAATGAGATTCAAATTCTTTTGTCAAATATGTTTTTTTAAAATGGATTTTCAAATTTTCATGCTGAATTGCCTATGAATTTGCAATTATTCTTTCGCTTTCGTTCATTTTCAACATAAACCAGTAAATATATCATTGTTTCAAAATAGTTACAATTCATGCATTTACAGTACTTCAGTGCTCACTTCTGATTTTAAACATTTCTGATTTTAAACATTTCCACTTCTGATTTTAAACATTTCCAATATTCTTCAATACAATTAACATCTGACAAGATTCCCTTTATTTTCATCGATTACTAAATTTACTTTATTTGAACTAAATTACTTTATTTGAACTATAGCAATAAAATATTCCTTTAAGGTTTGATAATATACAATAGTTGTCATTAATTAACCATTCATAATCTTCAGAATTTTCTTATCACTTAAGCTCATTTTAAGTTGATAATTTTGAACTTAATGTCAACATTGCTATCAATTTCGAACAGATAACATCAAATAATTTTGTAACAATATTACATTCAATGGTATTTAATGAGGAATATGATAATTTAATATATTACCTTATCACTTGTCACTTATCACTGGTCTAAACATAACTATTGCTATATAATATAAATATGAAATTTATTCAACTTCAGCACAATCCAATTTCTCCATTATTAATTGCAACTATTAAATTGATGGATATTTTCTATTTCTTAAAAAGTATTTGGAAATTTTCGATATTTTTTCTAAAATGCAAAGCTGGGATATGTAAAATACACATGAAATTTCCATAAATGTAGTAAAAAGGAAATGAAGAAGAATTCGCATGTCAAAATATCAAATTATAGTAATATATTATATGAAAGATTAATTAATTATAAAATTTCTAAGTGACATTAATACTTTCTCTTATAAGGCATTTTGAAATTGTATACTTTATAAATTAGTTAATTTATAGAAATAAATACGAAATGTAAGCAAAAATAATATATGAATAAAATTCAAACGAAAAATAATTAAAAATCGATAAGTTGTGTTGTGATGAATTTGTCAACAGTTGATGAAATTTTTAACAAATTTGCTTGTAACAATTTGCAGAGTGCATCTCTCTCAGATTATTTATTTCAGAATTTATTCCTTAAAATTTGTTAAAGATATGCTGAATATTAGTGATTGAATATAAGCATAAATAATATATGAATAAAATTCAATATGAAATTCTGGTAGAAATTTTCATGAGAAATTGCATCTGCAAATTGAAACTTTCAAAACAATTTGCAAAATTCTAGAAAAAAAAAAAAAATCCCAGAAAATAAATTTTAAAACGAAGCAAATAAAAGTAAAAATAAAAACAAAAACAAAAATAAAAACTTGAGTAACATCATAAAATACTTTGTTAGATAACAAATGATACCATAATTGTCTTCCAGGTATCATTATACCTTTAAACGAGTATGAATCATATCAATCAGCTGATAAAACTGAAATGTAAAGTATAAAAAGAGGTGTCTCATACATCTCTCTCTCTCCCTCTCTCTCTCTCTCTCTCAGTTTATTTCATTAACCTGTTTTTGATGTGATGAACATTAATTTCTTTTTCGATCTATTAAAATTAAATAAACGTTGCTGCCAAAATTGATCTTCTTACCTTCCTGTCCTTTTTATCATTCATTGACTATTGTAGCAATTTTTTTTTTTTTTTGCGTTTTTCTTTTCTTTTTTTAGTAACAAAATTTTATTTGAATTTTAATAGGTAATAATTGAAATTAGAAACTTTAAATTGATTTAGAAATTTGGAAAATTTTAAAAAGAAATGAGCTACGGTCGTTGTAAATTAAATTAGACACAAAGGAATGATTATGTAAACATGATACTCTTTTCAAAAATTTCAAAAATATTTTATTATTTATTATTATTATTATTATTATTATTAATTATTACTGATTTTTGAAAAATAAAGAAATGAATTTATTTTTATTTTTGATTTACTTTTGTATAGGTTTCTTATACTGCGCTTGAGTTTGTTAGTCCACTAAACATATTAAATACTATAAAATATTTTATATTCAATATGCATATATTTAAGTATTAATTCAATCTATCCTTCAGTTAATTCGAAATTGTTAATATATAATTTTGGTATGTCGCAGAATATTTTGTTTTAAAATTAGATGTAAAAGAATACGATCACATTGCTCATGGAATTAAAGCTAAATAAAAAGAAGGAGCAATTATGAATTTATCAATTTTGAAATTCGATTTTTGGGGTTCCACGGTTCGTTTCATATTTATTCATAATAATCTATCGCTATCAGTTTAATTATTTCTAATCAAATTCTGACTTAAAGTTTGCAATAAAAAATTACTAATAACATCCCAGATGAGCAAATATATGGAACAATTATATTTTATCAGTTATAAATATTTCAGGAAATCCTGTTTTACTTGTTTGACGTAAAGTGAAACATTAGAATGTAATCATTAAATTCAAATTAGAAATTTACTTAAAAAACTGAACTTTTTAATGCTTTTGTGGAATTTCAATCCAAATTTCAAATAATATTGTTTATGAATTTGGATAATTTTAACATTAAAAATTTTGAATTGTAGAAGAATGGAATTTATTTATTTATTGCTTTTTGTAGTTCCATTTTGTTTTCTCATTTGTTTATTACAATAATCAAAAATTATATTGCTAAATCGAATCATATGATATCTTCTTCTAGTTTATAAAGTGTATAAGAAATTTTAAATTAATTGATTTTAGATAAATTTATTAGAACAAATCAAATCAACATTATTTGCTAATACAAAATTTATTTTTAAAAGTGAAAAGCTTGTCAAATATCTTTTATATAAAATTTATTTAATACCAAAAATTTATTAAATCTGATTTGCGGTACTTATTTTCATAAGATCTGTTTTATCATAATGTTTTAGAAAGAAAAAGTAGAAACCTTTAATAGTCAATTTAATAAAATTTTTTTTTTTTATTTTCAGGTTTTACGGGTAGTGGTACCTCAAATGCTCATAATTATATTACTTATTGCATATGTTTTGTTCGGTTCAGCAATGTTTGTCATTTTGGATGACAATTTAGCCAAGGAAAATTTCACAGATATTATTCTATTCTCATTTACTACTATTGCTACGATAGGTTTCTTAATTTCACTATTGTACTTCATTGACAAATATTATCACATAAAAGTGTCACCTTATTTTGATGCCATGAAATTCAAATGATCATTTGGCAGTGATCATCTGAATCTTTTTCTATTTTCTAAGATTCGACTTTAATCAGTTATAGGTTATGGCAATATTACACCATCAACGCCATGGGCGCAATTGTTCTGTATAGCATTTTCAATATTTGGCATTCCAATGACTTTGCTAACATTAGCGAATCTTGGAAAATATCTAACAAAAAGTTATTGGATGGCATTAGTTTGCCAATATTACACTTACTGTCAACGTAACCATTTGGGCGCAATACAAATGTTCTGTGATATTCGAATCATTTGAATCATTGAGCATGAGTTATTCAGGTAGGCATTCACACCATCACTATTGCAAATTTGAATCATTGAGCGATGAGTTATTCAGGTAGAAAATACAAATCACTATCACAATCAAATTTGAATCATAAAGAAATATTGGATGGCAATTTCAGATATTGCCTTGAGCTTAAGGTCAGTTTTCTTTTCATTTTTTTTTCACAATTACCATCACTTTTTATTCGAACAAATTTGAACTGAAATCAATTCAGTAACCATTTACAAATACAATTAAAATTGTATTTGAATCAAAAGAAATGAGAAGAAATTCAGGTAGAAAAGTTTTCTTTTCATTTTTTATTTACAAATCACAATTACCATCACTTTGTGATATTCGAATCAAATTTGAATCATAAAGAAATGAGCTTAAAGATGAGTTATAACTAAGTTTACAAATAAAAGCTCAACTGATATCTGCTAGTCATTCAACTTTCAACCTGATAATTGTTTAGGAAATGCGCTGGCGACCATGTGAGAATGCAAAGATGCCATTACCGACAATTATCATTCTATTCCTGATAACATTTGCATTTGGTTCGATATTGTTCTATCAAAAAGGAAGAGGCTTTTCGATGGATGACGTATATTTCAGGTAAACCGGATTACACTGATATCATTCCTTCTATCTTTAGCAATTTATTCGAGTACTGTATTAGGAATTTTTAAGTATTATCAGTTTTGCTACCGTTGGATTCGGTGATAAATTTCCAACAGCAGATGATCCATTACGCTTAATTGCTATGGTTTGTTATTTGGTATGGGGAATGATTCTGATGACAACAACATTTTCCATCGTAAGTAGCTATTTGAGAACGGTATGTTATAATTTCTATATATCATTTCATTTCTTTCTTTTTTTTTTTTTAAATTAAGAAGAAAAATTGAAAAATAATTAAATTAGCCACTAAATATTTTATTTAATCAACCATTCATCCATCACATTTTCTCCTTATTAAGCTTATATTTCAGTATCTTATTTGTTCACTATACGCCTTTATTCTTTTAAATTAATTATCATTATTTCCTTTGCAAATAGCATTAGCAGTGATTACAGTGATGATTGAAATCTTCATATTACTTTATATAATAATAATTGATAATTAATAATTATTACTAATAATAACAATAATAATAATAATAATAATAATAATAATAATAATAATAATAATAATAATAATAATAATAATAATAATAATAATAATAATAATAATAATAATAATAATAATAATAATAATAATAATAATAATAATAACAATAATAATAATAGTAAATAATAAAGAATAAATAAATAAGTAAAAATAATAATAAACAATAAATAACAATAGTAATAATAAATCACTCTCTTTTGCTTTAAAATTTTTGGTATTAAAATAGATGATAGCATTAATATCCCGTAGATACACAAATGTGAAATAATCTCTACTAAAATTACTAAAAACTGGAGTTTCAAATTTAGATTCACTACTTGGGACGAAAGTTACGTGGAGCCCGTGATGTACACGTTTGGTTTGGTGGTAAAAGTATGAAAGTATCGAAACTACTTGAAATTGTTGCAGCTGAATTAAATGTAAGCTTAAGAAATACTGAACGTTTTTAAGTAATCAAATATATGAGAATTCATATTAATTTAGGAATTAAGTGAAAAGTAATCTTAACTGTAGTATGTGATAACCTTAAATTAAGTTAATCAAAAATCGAAAAGGAATGAATCATTAATTAAATGAAGAATGGATGGATGCATCTCGTTCCTTCTCCTACTCACTGGAGAACTTTATTAAAAACATGGATAGTCAAATTTTAAAGATTTAATTTTATTCAGTTGACATAGCTATTACAGGCATCACCTCGACAGCTGAAGAGTGTACTGAGAGATCTCGATAGCTTGATATCAACAGCTGTTGAGGAAAATCAACTATTATCAAGGCGATCATCTTTTCTGCTTAAAGGTCGCTGTTCCGTGAAAAAACGCATTGGTTATTCCTTACAGGTATTTCTTTACTTTAGACATATTCATATTTATTTCAACTGAAAAATTCTCCTATCAGGTAACTTTTTGTGAAATTTGCAGGGTATTAACGAACGAAAATCTCGTTATGATCGTTTGACAATTGGGTTAGTTCCTGCTTAAAGCTTCTTCCCTTATTCATAACTTTCCTCTATCAATGTAATAATTAATTATCAATATCATCAGGTCGCTTGAAACAGTACAAGAAGATGGCATATTACTCCATGAAAAATTCATCAAGGAACGACGAAAGATTGATAGGCATCACTCGATCGACTTAGGTGAACTAAGTAGGCGAACTATTGTAAAATTTGAAGTATGAAGAAAAAGTAAACAAATATAAGATTACTGCTTCTTTACAGCTTAAACCTTCGAGATGAACGTATATGAGCATCTAAAAAAAATATACTTCAAATTTGGAAATTAAAGGAACAATTGTTAGGTCTACAAGTTGACTATAAACTTGCCCTGCATTGTGTCACATGTTGTCAATCAACTTTAAAGTCTTTTGGTGTATCTATTGCAAATAGATACATTTAAAACTATTGTAAATTAAAGAAGGAAGTTTTCATGAGTGGATAATAATCCAGAAAAGACTTGATTACAAATGTATATCAAATCTAAACACAGTTATATAGACCGGAAAGATTTTCAGCTTTTGAAAATTTCCATACTGATAAACAAAACACTGACGTCCAGAAATATTAGTTAAAGTTAAGAGATAAAGACAAAGTTCATTAATTCTATAAAGCAAATTTCATGAGTGATCGATCGAATGAGATAAAATGAGCAATTGTTCCGCATTCATCCATACAGTGCTATTTCCTTTTGATGGAACATCAACTTCTTAAAATACCTCAAGCATTAATCCAAAATTACATCAATCTAGCAAGGAAGTGAAGAGGCAAAAAAAAAAAAAATGGTCTTTAAAAGTCTGACATTAAGCGCACTTAAAGCTAGGATGAGCAAATTATTTAATTTCACTTTGTCTACCTTTTAATATTTTGTATTTGGAACTATCGCATAAAATACTTAACAATTTATATACTATCGCATATTCAAGATAATTTCAAAAAGCAGAGTTTTATTTCAAAGATTTATTAGAGGCAGAATTCTCGAAAGTAAACAAAAGACTGGTTATAAAATTCACTTTTTCTTAATTCTATTGGTTTTAGTTTTTGCTGAAGATGTAACAGGAAGTGGTTTTAGTGTCGCGTGTCCGGAATTCCTCAAATGAGCAAATAATTTTGTCCGAGATTCGAACATTTCACCACAGCAATCACATGTACATTTTTTTGGTTTTGTATCTTCCGTCGCATTACTTTTAGCAGTTCCTTCTTTACATCTCCGAGCTGAAATTTTTTTTTATCACTCTCTAAATCATGTCCTTAGTGCAAAATATTTTCTTTCAATTCGCAAATATTTAATTGAAAGTCTTACTAATACCATTCAAAAGTCACTCAGCTTTGCTTTACCACTAAAATTTCACAACTAGTGTCATCCGTTACATTACACTTCTTATTTGCCCAATCATCAACTTTAAATTACGAAAAAATAAGCAGTACAAAAGAACAATTAAATTAATAGAAAACGGCAAAGAGAATAAAGGACATTTCGTCTTTTTAATAATAAAGAATTAGGTGGTAAATGAATATTCACGAAACAAATAATATGCAAGAACCAATAACATAAAAACCTTTATTGTCAGGTCGCGATCTTTTTGAAACTTTGGACATTTTCAAGAATATATTTGTCTCATCAGAGTTTGCAACATATTTCTCGTCATTCGACTCAATATCATTTTTAACAAACATTTCATTCGTTTCATTCTCCGACGTGCCTGGCTCGCCTCTCAAATAACGCTGATTTAAAGTTAAATAGAAACAGTAAAACAAAAATACTATTAAAGTGAAGTGCGGAAAAACTACAAGTCCGAAAAGATCGTTAATCTTACCCATCATCTATCCAACTTTTATCAGAATCATATCCACTTTTTCTCTGTTCCTTGCGTTTTTGCTTTCCTGACTTCTTTTTACTTTCGGTTTCCTCATCTTCAATATCTTTTTCATCAGCCATTAATATGTAGGCATCATCCTCCTTGAAATTAAAGAATCTTAACAATTGGTGAATAAAAGGTTTTATCCTATCCCAAAATATTTCATGATGCATTGATTTTAATCTGGGAGGTAAAACTGAATAATACGAATTTATATAGAACAATAAACTTCTTAAATTCAACTAAAAACACTTCATGCAAAGTGGTATCGGAAATTAAAGGAATTTAATGTGAAACCTGAATACCTTTATATGCTTCTTTAACAGTACAACTGTATCCTTATGTTTTTTCGATCTCTTGTGGTTGCTCATTGCCTTTCTATAATGGAGTCACATAAAAAGTGCAGCAGACTTTAACCTTCAGAAGAACAAAAGTTTTTTCTTATAAAAAAACTAGTCACTTACTCAGTTTTGAATACCTTTTCACAAAATACACAGTAAAAGTCCGATTCTTCATGAAATTCCATGTCACTTTTGCCATTACTACTTCCGAATTCAACATCCAAAGCTTCCTCAATTTCACGTAAATTCTCTAGCTGCGATTGTCGTACCTCTTCCGACTCCTTATATTCCTTAGCTTGACTTGAAAATAAAAAAGGATGGATAAAGAGAAAAAATATAGCCAATGAAATGCTCTTTCTAATAATTTTAATAACTTTAAAGTATGAATACTATCAAAGCGCTTGAATGTTAATTTCTGCCAACGCTTTTTTTTTCACGTTGAATCGAATTAATCTAAAAACTTGAGAATTTTTAGCCGGATTTCTGAAATTACCTTAATTGTTCCAGAATTTTCAGTCTCCTATTTTCTTCCGTCTTTCTTTCTTGTTCCAACCGCTTCTCTTCCAGCTCTTTTCTATGTGCACGAACTCGCGGATCTCGTTTTCGTATAAATGCAGCCAAAGCCTTAAATAAATAAATAAAAAAATATATTTTTTCATTAAATCCTTATCTGCCATTGCAAGCTATAGAACTATATACATTACCTTTCTTTTTTTATGAATGAGAAAGGCAATTTTCGACATTCTAATAGAATGAAATGTGAATTAATCTCAACATTTAAAACTATTTCAAATCCTTACAAAGTTGCTTAAAATTTTTGAAAACATATTAAAATAACCCGAATTTCTTCGTTTCTTTCACGTTTACTTGCTTCCCTTAATTTTTTGTTTTCTTTCTCCATCGCTTTAACGACACGACGATTTGAAGCATCACGTATGTCAAATTTGTCTAGCCATGCAAATGACCGGACGGTGCAGAAACTTCCCCAGAATGCATAGAAAGGACCAACTACCTATAAAACCACATAGTTGATTAAATGGGGTTTAAATATTTTTATAGACAATATTAAAAATGAAAAAAATTCCTAATATTCCGAAGTTAGTTCTGATTCTATGAATTACTAGACTAACAATTCTGTAAAAATATGATTACAAAATATAAAACAAGGTCATGTTTTAAACATACATCGTCATAAGTACTGTTCTCATCACCAAAGCTTGGATATTCTTCAAATTTTCCGTCCAGGAATTCATAATCTTCAGATGCCAAGGTCTCGAAAACTTGTCTATATACATCATAAAAATTCTGCAACACTTACAGCTATAATATATTAAACATTATTTCTTCTACATTAGACTCTTTATGAGAAATTTAAAATTTGATCTATGCTAGAATATTTCTGTCTTTAGAATACTTCTGGGAGACTTAAGTCATAAGAAGTTATGCATATTATAATATGTTTCCTCCTTAACGTTTTGTTGCTATATTTGTTCTGTTATTATAATGGGACTGTATTGCAAATAGAATTATAATTGGCTTTCAGAATAGAAACTTGCCTTATGATTGTCATCAAAACCGGAATAACAAGTTGATGTAAAGTAAGGAAATAAATTGAGACTGTTGTCTTCATAATGTTCATCAATTCCTAAACATTTATATGGAGAAATATTTTGAATGAATCGAAATTATGGTTGAACGAGAAGTTTCGATGACTCATTTCATAATTATCTTTTAAAATGTTAATACTGTATGGCTGTAGCGCTGCCAGAGAAAATTTACTACAGAATAATAGCTTTCCGGGACACAAGATGACAGTAACACCAATTATTACCTCGTTTACATAATTAATCGTTACCTAATTATGAGACCAGTTTTACTTTAATGAGCCAAACTTTAATGCCATAACTCCAACTAGTACTGCACAGTTAAAATCAGCCGAATCCCATTACCACTTATTATTCAGGCTTCACAACGACACACTATTCTTCCCCCACAAGTACTAGTAAAGTTTGTATTTAAAAAAAGTTCAATTAAGAAAATAAAACTAACCTCCTTTCAGAATGCTTTCTCTATGTCGATTATACCAAGCTCTTTCCTGTGGATCACTCAAAATATCATATGCCTGTTGTATTAACGCAAAATACCTAGGAATTTTGTCATATAGAAAGTAAAAGCACTTCAAAATAGAACCATTTTGTCGAATTTACGAAAATAACTTTTATTAAGGAAAACCAATCCACCAATGTTTCTTCAATTTCATAACAATGAAACTTGGAATCTAGACCTGCAATTTTACCTAGTACATTCTTCCACATTACTTGGATTCTTATCAGGGTGCCATTTGAGAGCCAACTTTCGATAGGCCTTTTTGATCGTATCATCATCGGCATTACAATCAACCTCTAACACATCATAATGACATCGCATTTCTTATACTCTTCTAGAATGTATGCTGATAAAAAAATACTTTAAAATTTTGAGGTAACTTTACAGAACTGATGAAATAGAGCTGACTAAATTATAACGTTTTACCAGTCACAGGACACAAATTAGTTAAAAATTTATCACAAAATAAACGACAATACATTGCTCTTCATTTAAATGAGGTATAGATTATTCCATAAATCTTGCTTTTTCAGTTAATATTGAATTATTTTAACTCTTACTTTGAAAATGACCAATTTTTCTTTTACCGTAAACTATAAAATCAAGGTCAAGAAAAAAAATCCGGAAAGGATTTAAGAAACTTTAATCGTTGTCCTAAAAGATGTCTATGAATAGCAGAAATAGAGCAGTAAACCAAGATAAAATTAAAAGTATAACATATAGCAGTCTGTCAATATTAAAAACTTACAATAGCACTGAAAAGCTAACGGCTCAGCACGGTAACATGTCATAGCTATGTACGTATATCTAATATTAACATAGCAAATTAATTAATGTCATATTATTATATTGATATACATACAGCAGAGGAAATAAAAG